GCCATTTTGAAAAACTATTTCAAACTTAAAGTAAAGTTCTACTTGGCCGATTGAACTGAAACTTTGTAGGAATGATCGAATCATGGTCCTGACAAAGTGTTGTTATTTTTCGGGTCAATCAGAAATACAATTTGGCTGCCATGGCCGCTATTTTGTAAATACCTATTTCAAACTTAAAAACAAGTTCTAATAGGCCGATCTCACTTAAAATCGGTCTAGGAATGATCAGCTCATGGTCCTGACAAAGTTAAGTTAACATTATACTTAACTATTTTTTACTCAAATTGGTACATATTTCAACAATAAAAATAAATACTGTAGGACTCAGGTGACCGTTAAGGCCCATGGGCCTCTTGTTTCACATGTAACAAATATTTTCCAAGTTAGGCACATTTGAAAAATCAAGTAAATTAATTTAAATTTCAATAATTAATTCAGCAGTGGTGTCCGTTTACATAGAAATCAATATAGCAGCCTAAGGGTTAACCTATAAAAAAACTATAATGTAAATTGCCAACACAAAATGTATTGCATAGAATTCTGAAGCCGTCGCAAATAAATCTGAAAATTCCTACTTAATTTTAAATAAAGAAACAATATGACCAATTGAAATGTAGACTAAGGTAATGGAACTTTTCTTTGCTGGATATATATATCTCAGTTGGTACTAATTAGCTTGTGGTGATCAACTCGGTTTCATGTAATTAGAATCCAGCATGACATTTACAACTATTTTCCAAAATTGATCATTTTTACAGTTTTAACTGTATTGAAATTCAAATTAAACTAAATCATATGACTCTCTGTTTAGAGAAGAACTTTGATACTCTATAGTGAGAGATGCCCGTGAGGAAAATTTTCTGTCGAGACCCTGGTTAAAATCTGTTGAGCCTACTTAAGGTTCCAGTCCATGGAAGCAATGATTGACCTAGCAGCTTTTCTGAGGCATTCATACATGTGTTGATCGTGTAAAACAATGTATTCCGACGCATTATTTTGATACGAAGGTGATCATTGATGTTTGAATGTACATCCATTTATCTTGCATCGTTTCCCCTGTAGCAAGAATGTTGTCAATATCTATTGGCTGAAATTAATCTGATGTCGGAGCTGTAGGTCACCAGATACAGCCCATTAAATCCTAGTATTAAACTACACGAGTGTTTGAACCTATACAAAACTATGATGAAAATTGTCAATACAAAATTTATTGCACGGAAGCCGTCGCAATGAAATCTGAAAATATTACACAAAATGTTTGGCTCGCATTCCTACTTTATTTCAAATAAAGAGACAATACGACCAGTTGAAATGTAAAACTAAGGTAATGAAACATTTCTTTACTAGATATTTATATCTTGATTTCAAATAAGGCCAAAAAAAATGTAGTCTGTTTAGGGTTGCATTGGCAAAAAAACTAGGGTAGGTAGGTCAGATTTTGTTTGTTTGTATATTTTTGGACATGTGATTATGACCCTACTATTGTATGTAAAACAAAGAATTACATAAACAAGGTTCATTTGGAGGCAAATTGTGCTCCATGTGATGACATTTAGCGCCAACTCGGAGCTGGAAGCCATTTTGAAAGGCAAGGGACCTTCTAAAATCGAAAATCAGCGGGTTTTTAAAAAAAGTTTTGGGTCGGGGTAAAAAGCTTGGGTCGGGAACCCTAAACAGACACCTTTTTTATTAGTCTAATTAGAACCCAGCATGACATTTACAACTATTTTCCAAAATTGATTATTTTTACAGTTTTTACTATATATTGAAATTCAAATTAAACTAAATCATATGACTCTGTTTAGAGAAGAACTTTGATACTCTAGTATTTTGAGAGATGCTCGTGAGGAAAATTGTCTGTCGATACCCTGGTTTCAGTCCATGGAAGCAATTATCAGCAATCTAAGGCTAATCTGATCTTGAGACATTCATAAATGTAACACGATGTGTCATTTTCATGGTTAACTAACTAATAAGTAGCTGGCATCATTTTTCTGCGAAATACAGCTACCTAATTGTTTTGTGCGACATACAGTAAAACTTAGTGTTCCATTTAGACTCGCCAATTTCCACTCATGTCGCTTAGCATGCAGAGTCTGATACGTATACCGAACCAATCATATGAGCGGCATTGAAATGGAGGCCATATATATTTTTCAAGAATCCTACGAGGCACATCCAAAAACAATGTTCTGGTACTTATGAGCGTGTGATGGTTAACCGTTTGAACTCTTTCACCCCTGAAGACACATTTGAACTCTTTCAATTCAAAGGTTGGAATAGTTCATGATAAAAAATTCAGGGGTGAGCAAGTTAATTTGTCATGGCAATCAAGAGACTGGCTAGCTCTGCTGTTACGAATAATAAGAAGGTCTGTTTAATAACAAGGTAATTTGGACCGTTACTTCTTGGAATTTTTGGGGTGAAAAATTACAAGTTTCAAAAATTAAAAACTGATGTTGGCCGAGTATTTCATGAATTCAGTGATTTAATAAATGCTAAGAAATTATATTATTGGTAAGTAAAACATTGGTTTATAAGCATATTTTCTAAATTGATAAGCTATATAAACAAAATATTAAGTTTTAATCATTGTTTGGTATTATGATTCACAAGATGCCGATGAGGAAAAACGTCCGTTCTGAGACCCTGGTTAAAATCTGTCGAGTCTGTTACTGGCTCCAGTCCATGGAAGCAATGATCAACAGGCTTGTCATTTCTGAGGCATTGATTGGGAAAATTTGACCTCTGGTTTGATTGAGGGGTATCATAATTCGTATGCGGGTTTTGATCGTCCTCTTATAACTGAATGGTTCACAAGAAACACAAAAATTATCACATGGAATTCTGAAAAAAGTGTTTGTTTTTATTTTTAGTCTTCAGAAGTCTGTATGTAGTTTCTAATAAAGAGTTGATTGATCCTATACAAATAAAAACTGAGATTTTTTTATTTTATTTTTTAAAACGTTAACCCGACAGCAAGAGCTTATGATGGTAAATTCAATTTCGTTTGTCCTAGCAGTCAAAAGATTGGCTGCAGTGAGGACAATTTAAAGATCTGAAGCCTTGCATCAACTTCAAATTTTTGTTTGAAATACATACCTGGATTTTTTTATATAAACAAAATGAAAATTGAATTGGTCCATCATATTAATGTATTTTTTCCCCCGATTTCTTGAATAATTTAACAAAAAAGCCTATAGGATAATCTTTTACAGAAGATTTATTAGGAAAAAAATGTATGAAGATGTTTAAATACGTCTGGAAGATCGTAGTTTCCAATATACTGAGGAAAAACTTCTTGAGAATTTTAACAACCACGTTTTCTTTATGTAATTCCAGCAAATGTTGGATGAATATCCAAAATGCTTCATCGTTAACGCAGACAATGTGGGATCCAAACAGATGCAACAGATTCGTCAGGCCCTCCGAGGCAAAGGAGGTACGTAGTCACCAACAGATTTGTCAGGCCCTCTGAGGCAAAGCAGGTACATAGTGACCAACAGATTTGTCAGGCCCTCCGAGGCAAAGCAGGTACGTAGTCACCAACAGATTTGTCAGGCCCTCAGAGACAAAGCAGGTACGTAGTGACCAATATATTTGTCAGGCCTTCCGAGGCAAAGCAGGTACGTAGTGACCAACAGATTTGTCAGGCCCTCCGAGGCAAAGCAGGTACATAGCGACAACAGATTCGTCAGGCCCTCCGAGGCAAAGCAGGTACGTAGTGACCAACAGATTTGTCAGGCCCTCCGAGGCAAAGCAGGTACGTAGTGACCAACAGATCCGTAAGGCCCTCCGAGGCATAGCAGGTACGTAGTGACCAACAGATTTGTCAGGCCCTCCGAGGCAAAGCAGGTACGTAGTGTATTGACCAACAAATCCGTAAGGCACTCTGAGGCAAAGCAGGTACGTAGTGACCAACAGATTCATCAGGCCCTCCGAGGCAAAGCAGGTACGTAGTGACCAACAGATTCGTCGGGCCCTCCGAGGCAAAGCAGGTACGTAATAGTGACCAAAGTAGTTCATGTTGAATCCGCCGCAATCTACTTTAAATGTTCTTACAAATTTCTGAAAGATTATTTTAAAGTCCAATTAAAAAATAAGAACTTTTAAAATTGAAGAATTTGTCTTGGTCAACCCTCCTTTTTATTGCACACATATATATAGAAGCAGACTTTGATATTCTAGATAAATATTTTTAAGTTGTGTATTTAATGAATATTTAAACAATCTTAACATTGTCTTCTTTTATGTCTGAATTTAGCAATACACAATTCGCTACATATCACAATGCAGCCACAGATGTATGGATTTAACTGAAAAATTATGATAGAAACTACACAATTTTAGAATTAAACATACCGTGGTATGCTTTATTAGGCTATTTTATTCCTGTTATGATGAAAATCTCTTTATATTGCGAGTTCCCTGATCCCAGTTTTGGAGCCAGAAATGGCCGAACCCACCAATACTGCAGGGACAGAGATCAAAAACTAGCCATCAGGCTGTCTGAACAGGAACAGAGCAAAAACAAAATACACCACAGTTTTAAATTAAGTTATACAATTCTGGGTCATTAATTTTGTGGGGTTCAAGGTAAAATTCCTCCTAGTCATTTTAGGATACACAACATTTTATGATCTACATACACAACATATATTTAAGAAGTTTATATTAGAATATAGCTTATATGTGAATAAAGCTAGGGATATTGGATTATGATACTTAACCCTTTCACCACTAGACCGTAATGGACTCGTCCAGATCAATGCATGGTAGAGTCTACTAAAGTTACATAGGGGTGAAAGGGTTAATTTAATGTCATGGAACAAAAAATGATGGAAGTGCATGACAATGAAACAGAAGTGGACAGATTTAATTTGAATTATCATTGAAAGAACCGTATTCATTTCCTGACATAAAAGATTTTAAGAGTGTTTAAGCACAGTTCATGTTCTTCGTTTTGATTTACATCGTCTCGGCTTCCATCTGTCATCTGTAACACAAGCTAAGAATCGTGGAAATATGTAAGTGTTTGTCAACACTTAAATTTGCGTTTGCCCCATAATTTCTATTTAATCAGACATTTCAGTTTAAACTACAGTATTCAAGAGAAAGAAAATGACATTTCTTTAATTCTGTGGGATATATATATGAGGATCCCAAATCCTTTCAATAGAATGTAAATTTAATACAAATGTACATATAATTACAAAATTAATTTTGATCATTGGTAAGCTGTACATTTGATCCAGTTTTCGCCTTTTGATGAAATTCCTGTTATGATGAAAATCTCTTTATATTGCGAGTTCCCTGATCCCAGTGTTGGAGCCAGAAATGGCCGAACCCACCAATACTGCAGGGACAGAGATCAAAAACTAGCCATACGGCTGTCTGAACAGGAACAGAGCAAAAACAGATTACACCACAGTATTAAATGAAGTAATACAATTCTGGGTCATTAATTCAAGGTAAATCCCTCTCAGTCATTCTAGGATACACAACATTTTATGATCTTCGTACACCACATTTATATAAAGGTCGAAGTTCAAGTTTATTTAAGAAGTTAATATAAGATTATCGGTTTGACAGGCTTTAACATGTGAATAAAGCTAGGGTTATTGGATTATGGTACTTAATGTAATGTTGAGGAACAAAAAATGAAGTGCATGTTTGAAACAAAAGTGGACAGATTTAATTTGAATTAGATAGAAAGTACCGTATTTTTTTCCTTTAGTAAATGATTTTAAGAGTGTTTAAGCACAGTTCATGTTCTTCATTTTGATTTGCATTATCTCTGCTTCCATCTGTTATCTGTAACTCAAGCTAAGAATCGTGGAAATTTGTTAATGTTTTGTAAACACTTATATTTGCGTTTCCTCTACCATTTTCCTCCACCATTTCTGTTTAATCGGCATTTCATTGTCCACCATTTCTGTTTAATCGGACATTTCAATTTAAACAATAGTATTCAAGAGAAAGAAAATGACATTTCTTTAATTCTGTTCTGGTGAAAATCTACGACGTTGCAAGTTCCCTGTGGCCAGTATTGGAGCCAGAAATGGTTGAACCCACCAATACTGCTGGGGCAGAGATGGATATATATATTGGGATCCCAAATCCTTTCAATAGAATGTAAATTTAATACAAATGTACGTATAATTACAACATTAATTTTGATCATTGGTAAGCTGTACATTTGATCTAGATTTCGCCTTTTGATGAAATACCAGTTATGATGAAGATCTCTTTATATTGCGAGTTCCCTGATCCCAGTGTTGGAGCCAGAAATGGCCGAACCCACCAATACTGCAGGGACAGAGATCATAAACTAGCCATACGGCTGTCTGAACAGGAACAGAGCAGTAAAATCAATGAGTTTGATGACCAAAATTGTATGATGCTAAAGTTTGTCCAAGACATATGATGTGACCCTGATAGTTATACGTATATATAACTAAAAGATAAAGTATCTAGACATGCTATTGACTCTGGTTGTATTGAACTGTTTCCATTGGTATAATTTGTCTTTTTAAAGTTATCCTCATGGGCAAGAACACCATGATGAGGAAAGCTATCAGAGGTCAATTGGAGAAGAACCCAGACTTGGAAAGGTAAGTTCCCTTAAGGTCATAGGAGTGTATTGCTAAACGGAAATAGGAAGTACATCCCTAGTTGAAAATCCAATGTAGGGAGACAGTATCACAATTTCCGCGTATTCTAATGTTTAATATTAAACTGATGAATATTGTATGCTTATTTTTGACAGAACAGTGTGTTCTTTCAATAATAAAGTATGGCAAAGCAATCCAGGCATAAATTCAGATGTTTTTTTAATCAATGAGTCACATGTGTTCATTTTTCTGTACTTCAGGAACCCGGCTACCTATTTCACTACTGTGAAGTTTTTCAAGAACGATAACTCTTGCATGCAATTACTATGTGTATATGGTTTTATTATAAAATGTCAATTTTTAATCGTTTATAGATGATTAATTTTACACAATTTCAGCATTTATGTAATTGATACACATTAATGCAATACTAATCTATGTTAGTATCATTTTTATTGACATTCAAAATTCAATCCTTTTTACATAAATTTCCATTTAAAATCCTTAAAATTCGACAACCTACATTAAATGTTCTTTACTTCAAAGCAATATAATTACAAAATTTGAATAAATTCTACTGAGAAATGGCGACACAATCCTATTACCTTAAACTATTTCATTCTTTCTAGAATCCACAGATCTAATATGATAGTAGAGGTATTTCAACAAGAAATTGTGAATAGTTTACCTTTTTTGTCAAAAGTAACTTGTAAGGCCAAACAAAAAAATATTAGCTGTTTTACCCTTCCAACCCCTAATTAGTCCCCCATCGTTTCCTAGGGGGGATTATATGTTTGAACTCTGTCTGTCTGCCCTTTTGTCAAAGATGTTTGTCCGGGACATATCTTCTATACTATTTCACCTGGAGTAACCAGATTTGAAAGTGCAATAATTAGGTCACTGTGACCTATGACTTAACCTTTGACCTTAACTTTTGAAAAAGTTTGTCCAGGGCTTATCTTCTATGCTACAGTATTTCAGTTGGAGTAATAATTATAACCAGATTTGGTGTACAAGGACAGCTTGGGATGGCGGAGTGCAAGAATTAGTTCACTGTGACCTATGCTTTGATCTTTGATCTTACCTTGTGAAAAAGTTTAAAAAAAATCATTACCGGTGGGGGACTATGGATTGCCTTGCAATAGTTTGCCTTGTTTTTTGGTGCCTACCCTAAACTTTTTAAGGCAATATTCAAAGAAGCACTGCATGTTCAAGTCAAAATCACTAGTATATAAACCACATAAAATTTTCTTTGAAAATAAAACTTGTTACCTACCTATCTACTTTCCCTAAATTTTTCGAACATGTTACAGGAAACATATTTTTTGTCTGGCCTAATGCCCTCCCTCATTGATCACAGTCAATAGTAGAAAGACATAAATGTTGGTGCTTTTCGGCAGTCTCTATGACATTTAGGTTAGTCTCAGTGGTTAGCTTTTACCAAGAGTAACACTGGAAGTAACATATAATAACCGTCAACGAACTTTCCTACCTCCAGTACACATACACAAATGCATGTATACATGAACTCATTCACCCCTGAAATTTCATAATGAACTATTCCAACCTTTGATCTGGAAGAGTTCAAATGTGTCTTCAGGGGTGAATGGGTTAATAACTCGCATATAGGCATGTCCTTAACTCATTTACCCCTGAAGACACATTTGAACTTTTCCAATTCAAAGGTTGGAATAGTTCATTGTGAAATTTCAGGGGTGAATGAGTTAAATGACCATAGCAGTTCATAGGACATCAAACAAAATAAAACAAAAATCTTAAATTATGAATAAATTTTTCGGATTATTACACTAGTAATTGAAATAAGGCCACTGTGACCTATATTTTTGATTTCATTGACTTTGGTTAGACTTTGCATTAAGCTTGTTGTCTTAAAACAGTTGAAATGAAATTCCTGTGATGATGAAAATCTCTGATGTTGTGAGTTCCCTTGACCCCAGTGTTGGAGCCAGAAATGGCCGAACCCACCAATACTGCAGGGGCAGAGATCAAAAACTAGCCATACGGCTGTCTGAACAGGAACAGAGCAGCAAAACAAACAATTAACCCATTCACCCTAAAGTCACATTTATACCTTATCAAATCAAAGACTGGACAAGTCTAGTTTTAACTTGTTGGGGCGAATGAGTTAAATTAATGATACTTATCTGGGTAAAGATGCATAAATGTCTTTTGGGTTACTTATTAATATCACTTTGTTCCTATTACAGACTTCTTGGTTACATCCGATTTAATGTCGGCATGGTCTTCCTCAAGGGAGATTTGGTGGAAGTGCGCGACCTCCTGTTGGCCAACAAGGTAGATACATCAACTATTATCCTACATGATCAGGGGAATAATAATTCTGACATGGTCAACTGCATGAAATTGTTGAAGCCCCCAGATATTGCAGGGACAGATTAGTAACAAAATGATTCATGTTTTTGGTTGTCAAAAGAAAAAGCAAAATAAGTAGGGATTTGGTCAGTTCTTTAAAAACAAAAAAGTCATTTTTAGCTCACCTGGCCCGAAGTGAGACTATGCCATGGTTCGGCATAAATCCGGCATTAAATTGTTACTTGAAACAATTTCTTCTGAATAACCAATAGGCCCAGGGTGTTGATATTTTGCCAGTAGCATTTTCGCCCATCGATTGTAAAATCCATTTTATTGAACTTGTCCTTCATATTTAATACTGTATATATTATGTTGTTTAAGAATGTTAGCTGTAATGATCAATTTGCCCTTGTTACTGAGGGTGGTAAAGGCGAAAAAAATAAACTGCAGCAGAAATTACCCAAAGGCGAAAAAATTGACTGCAGCAGAAATTACCCAAAGGCGAAAAAATTGAACTGCAGCAAAAATTACCCAAAAGCGAAATAATTAAACTGCAGCAGAAACTACCCAGTATATATGGCACCAATTTTTATCAGAACACTACAGGATATCTCGTCTATTCCAGGTACAAGCACCAGCCCGTGCCGGAGCTTTGGCTCCACTTGATGTCAACGTGCCAGCTCAGGCTACAGCCCTCGGTCCAGAGAAGACATCTTTCTTCCAGGCTCTGCAGATCCCAACCAAGATTACCAAGGGGTGCATTGAAATCCTCGTAAGGATTGAGTTTTACAAATATCTCTTCTAGTATTGCAAATTATTTCTCCTCTTTACGAAAATGTCATGCCCGTTTTAGGTTCCTCAACTTGTCAATGAGAGGATGAAACATCAAAAAGGAAGTAAAATGTATAACACTTCAGAAAATTGATACTGATGTTGTTGTCTTACCTTAGGGTTTATTAGACAATTAGAGATTATTTCTTGTGTTTGATGGTTTTTCTTGATCGTCCCACAATAGAAGTGTCAAATATAACATTCATTTCTAGGCAAACAAAGCATTAAATTAATTAAAGGATCAGATAAAATTACTCTCACTCTTTTGGAGATGAAAAAATCACTCTTTGACTCCTTTTGTTACATGATACACAAATCTTGAAATTTCGAAAAAGATTTGCCCATCCCATCCCTAATGAGATGAGCGAATATATTGTCAAACTTGCTCTCTTACCTGATAATACTGAGCATTAAATAAACCTGTTTATTTGATTTCCACCAGAATGAAGTGAACTTGATCAAGGTCGGTGGTCGTGTCGGACAATCCGAGTCAACACTATTGAACATGTTGAACATCTCGCCCTTCTCCTATGGTCTCCAAATCGAGCAGGTGTACGACTCCGGAACCATCTTCAGTCCCAGCATCCTAGATATCACCGACGATGACCTACGTGCCAAGTTTATGATGGTAAAGTGTTTTATTGCTGTCAAACTTGTTATAAGACTACTTGTCCAGGACTGATGCGTGAAACTTGACTAGAATTTGGTATGGAACTTCGATGGGTAAAGGGATGTAAATATTTCATAAAGTGTGCCACAGTTAAAGGATAGAAGGGCAGTGTCCTTTATGACAAAATTTTGTAAATCTTGAAATAAAAAGTTTGTCATAAGTATAGTTCAAACCTAAAGATCATATGAACTAATGGAACTCGATGTTGTATGAAGCCAAACAAAAAAATAAAGTGTAAAAGCACTAGGGAAGTACTAAGAAACTCTTGTCCTTTGTTTTTTATATACATAAATATATATAGATAGAATAAAAACAAATCTTTCAGATCGTCGGCTAGGAATAAAAACATGAATCTTTCGGATATATATATATTTGTGAATTGTTTTGACAGGGTGTAAGGAACATTGCTGCATTGTCACTGGCAATTGGCTACCCCACCGCAGCCTCTGCACCTCACAGCATAGTAAATGGATTCAAGCGTCTGTTGGCCATCTCCGTGGAGACAGATTACACTTTCCCAGAGGCTGAGAGGGTAAGTACTTTGAAACATTTCTTCATATATATGTGTTAACAAACATTGTACCTACCTATTTTCTTTGATGATGATATAAAATAATGAACTTTTTTTTGTGGTTATTTTTTGAATATCAAAATGATAGAAAATGGTTAGATGCTGAAGTTCATGTTCATCCGAAGATTGAGGATGACCAGAATCTTTTTGTTTTTTAACCAGGTCACTGGTTCTTCATCAAATTGTCTTCCAGACAATATCTTTATTTATGTACATTAGGCTTTTGGTGGTGGCAAAGTGGCATTTTTAATCAAGATGCAGTATGTGAACTAATACATTAGGAGGCACGGTAGTCTGGTGGTACGACGGCGGGCTCGTGACCGAAGGGTTGCAGCTGGTTCGAGTTACATCACGGCACCGTGTTGTATCTTTAAACAAGATACTTTACTCTGCTTGTTCCAGTCTACTCGGCTGTAAATGAGTACGTGATTGGGCTGTGCTAGCTAGAATTGCTGAATGCTAGCTGTGAGTGCTGAAATGGCAGCACTGGCTGGTTGCAAAGGCCCTATAACCACTTATAATAATTTGTGAACCACTTTGAGACGACCTACGAACTAGGTTGTGATTAAGTGGTATATAGGAAACTCGAATTATTATTATAATGTGTTGAAATACACTACATTGGACCATAAACTTGTGTGATTTTTAAAAATATTGTTTCCTCCAAACAGACCAAGGAGTACCTTGCCGACCCCTCCAAATTCGCTTCCGCTGCCCCTGTAGCAGCTGCTGCTGCACCTGCGGCCGATAAAAAAGCAGAGGCTAAAAAGGTGGAGTCTGAAGACGAATCTGATGACGACATGGGATTTGGTCTCTTTGACTAAATCTTCCACGCCAGTGCTATGAACTATTGGAAAGTGCTGAATACAAAAAATTACCATCTTTGACGAAATTGAATTATCTGTTTTGGATTCTCACATCTATCTTGAGTTAAGTACTGTTGAGATCATGCTGAGAAAAAAAGGGGAAATATCCACGCCAACGCATCATGCAAAATGGCGAAAGGATTTCACCATTTAACTTAATAAAAGATTCAGCAATTGAATTTCAGTCATTTGTGATTTATTCTTCAAGCAGATTCTAAGTATAACTTTAGAATATGTAGATCATTGAATGATATGAATTAAGATTCATTAGAGATGAAGTCTGTTGACCATTGTTCAGCTTCCAGGGTTGGACACTAACGTTTTTTGCTTGCTAGTCCACATTACTAGATTAATAGATTATTTACTAGTCCTTGGTCAATGTAACTAGTCCAAGATTTCCTGACAAGGAAACAAAGCGATCTACAGCACGAAATATATTTAGGAAAACTTTGACAATTATCATGCAATATATCTTGTTTTAACCCTTTCACCCCTATGTAACTTTAGGAGACCCTACCATGCATTGATCTAGATGAGTCCATTATGGTCTACAGTGGTGAAAGGTTTAAGCTGTTTTCTAAATTTTAAAAAGAAATGTTCTTATTTATCGTATTTTTACACAAATCCAAAGGACCAGTTAGGTTAGATGCTTCGCTAGTCTTTGCTGAAATCTACCTGTGGTGAACTAGTGAGAGTGTGGACCCCTGGCTTCTGTAAGCGGCTTCTACAGAATCAAAATATCAACAGTATCCAGTACAAGTATATATGTATCAAAGTTTGGAGTGTTCTTTTTTTCCCCGTTATAAAACAAGCATGACCTTGACTTTTAATTTATGGGTCAGATATGTTGAAAATTCAAACAAAATAACCATATATTCTAAGGCCATAATAATTAATGTGTTGTGTGGGTCAGCTGTGAGCGCTGTCCAAGGTCAAAGCTCAACACTGGCTGTCCTAAATAAGAGCTTTTGAAAAAAGATGCATCGGGTCCAGGATTGGGATCGTTTGCCAGTAGGTATTTTAAGTAGAAATAGGTTAACTTTTCTAAGATAAATGACCTAAAACCCACTTTAAAGGTCAAAGGAGCCAACTATATTAATGTTTTTAACAATATTAAGGAATGTGAAGCTCTAGAGCTAGTTGGGTTATGTAGATTGGCAGTGCAAATCTGAGGTGCTAGGAACAAGTCCTAGAAAGGTCCCTCAAATGACCCTGACCTTTCTATGTAAAAATGGTTCTTGCATCAATACTTGGAAAACGGTTGTGACCCCTACCCAACAAATCACCCATCATTAACAGACAAAATACAGATGATGCATGCGACGATTCCTTCATTTGGTCTAAGGAACCCTGGACAAAGGCATCCTCGATTTACAGGGGTAATACTCGCCTTCGCTCTCTACTACCTATGGAATGTGTGGTAGCAAAATCGAAGACTCTCCGTCGCGAAAGGTAAAACTTCCTTGCTTTGAAGTGGGGTGTCGCTCTTCTGTAATCTTCAAAGAACAAGGATCATCCTAGTGATTGGTCAAATAGCTAGCTGCTGCCTTCAATTTCGCTATGACATATTCCAGGACCCCTGGATATCGAGGATGGGACGGGTAACTACAACAAAAAGCCACATTGGGAGCCGAGGGCTCGGATCGGGTTTTATGTTAAAAGATTCTTTTCTGTTCTTGATTCACTTCATAATTTACATAAAAATGGACCCCATATTCCCTTGGTTTTGAGCATTGAACTCGCTATGAAAGGTGCCATATCCACAGGAAGGGAGTCGTATATCTTTAAGTTGAAAATGAGAATATCTCTGCGTAGTTAACAAAATCACACGTCAATTAGGCGTTAAAGGAATATCTTGAGGATACTTGTAATGCTGTCAAAAACAAAATATGCTTAACCCTTTTCTAGCATGTCTAGATTTGATAAAATATTTTCAGAAAAGACCACCAAACCTTTGGGACTTTCATGAAAAAAATATATAATAACGACGATTAAATTAACACGCTAGACCAGAATTTGAACCCTAAACCTCCAAACATGTTACAATTCGCTCGAACCAGCTGATCTACATACGGAAGTATACTCCATTAGTACGAACATCTACAGTGGAATATTTAGTTTCTTGTTTGTAGCGGGAAAACACTCTTGAATGGGGCGGCTTGTAAATATCATCTTGACTTGCCGTATAACGTAAAATAAGTTTCTTTTTGCCAGTAATTTAAGGCCAATAATGCGTACAGTATCGAGTGCGCAGTGAAACAACACTTCAAAGGAAAATATATTATTTGTCAATCGACACGATTTTGTCTGTTGTGTGTGCCCAAATAAACCGTGTATGCAGAAGCTCCATCCGTTTTGCAATGTAGTCGCTCATCTTGGACGAATTTGCTTTGTTGAGTGAGGATATACGCATGCATGTACATATTTAATCGTTTTCTGCACATCCACGTCAGTTTAACGTAACGTTTAAACCTTTAAACCAATTCTTTTGAATAACCAGGAGGCCCAGAGTGATGATACTTTCAAAGTAAGTACATTAATTTTGTTCCGTGCATGAAATGTTATGAACTTTACTCAAATAAATGGCCTTTACCTACTTTCAAGATAACAAGGGTCAAATGTAATAAGCACTTTTAAACGACTTCTCCTGAAAATAGCGCAGTAGGTACCTTTGGTGAAGTGCGATAAATCATCTTTAAAAATAATATTTCGAATAACAAGGAGGCCCAGAGCGGTGACAGTTGGACAGTAAATAGATACCTTTCATGTAGTGCTACATTATAAAGTTTCCCCAAATAAATGACCTTGATCCTCTTCCAAGGTCAAAGGAGTTGAAAATGTACACAAAAAAAAATTGAGACAACTTCTGTATTATCAAGAGGCCCTGTGTTGGAAAGAGTTGTATAAGTTTTCATTTAGTCTGAAACATTCTTTAATGAAAATAATTGCTCAAATATCCAGGTGAGCGACACAGGCCTAACGTCTAGGCCTCTTGTTAATTAATTCCTTGACATGTTTATGAATATTTTAAAATTAAAACGCTGTGCATGTATTTATTATATTTCTTATCGGGACGTTTCATGTGCTAGTCTATGCAAGAAAACAAATTCGAAGTATGCACTACTGTAACAGAAACAGAAACTAAAAAAATAACACAGTTTATTGCTGATGTGATGCAGTTTAATCCAATGCAAAATAAGCAGGCTATACATAAATTAAAACTAATTAAATCAACAAATCTAAAAAATAAAATGGATTTAATCGACTAGTGAAAGATTCTCAATTGAACAAGCTCTAATATTTATACATGTATATGCAAATCCACCATGTTGTATTTCGTATGTGATAATACTGTCATGTTTTTATATAAAAACCATCTTCCAATGAAAACAAATACACATTCGTTGATGAAAATATTAAAATAATAATTCTAAACCCGCTGCATACAATTGCGGACTTTCGGGGTATCAGACAGATATGATAGACAATCGGATCACTTTGCCCTTTTCTTTCGGATGCTCAGAAAAGAGAGATGGGGAGGGTGACCGAGGGGTATGCTAGATAGATATAAATCACAGGAGGATTGTAACAAATATATATATAAAAAAAAGGATATCCGAACGTGCATGAACCGCTATGTGTGTTGTTATATATATTTGTAACAAGCCCCAGTGCATGGACTTTGAATAATCAATACCTGACTGTCATCGAGTAAAATTAACTTTATTTCACATGCATTTGATAACACTCAATGTTGAAATCTATATATATGATAGCATTAACCATGCAGCAATCGGGACATCTCGGCCAATTCCGCCATGACTCGGAATTGATTCCGGGAGTTGACGGAATGGGCCGAGATGTTGCGATTAGAGTGACTAGCTGTATCCGATATGGAATCAATTAGTTGTAGTCTGTTGGTGCCTGATCGTGTCTTGTTGCTTCTCAAATTACAAGTCGTCTATATGTTGTCACGTTTAACAGTCAGCGGTCATGAACACGTTTTGAACATTTCTATTTTCAGAACATGCGTTTTTATGCATGACCAAATATAATTGAAGAGATTTGTAACAAAATAAGGCCGATAATTAGGCAATTAATTATTACACAAGTGAATGAATTTCTTATATGGACCAAAATCGTTCATTTACCCTTGTCCACTCCTGATTTAGAACAAGGTCAATTATTTATGCAAGCTAAAACAAGCACTTCATCATAATCTTTTACAAAACATAATTCAGTTTGCTAATAAAATACCCGAAACAACGATGATAAACAAAACTGGCAATTAAGCATTGACTCTGAATCGATTTTTTAGATAGGTCTAAAGTTTGTAAAAGACGGAAAACATTAATTGCTACAACTGAGTCAGCCAACCGCCTTTAGTGTATGAACGGTAACACGCGTGGCCAGCGCTTTCACACTCAAATGGCGAATTATAAAAGGTTAATTGCAGGACGGGTGTCTTTACTAATTGCCCATTTCCTTATATGGCCACAACATTTAAATGACACGAGCCCTTAACAACAATGTATCCATGTGTTTATCATAACGATCAATACTTTGTAGATAGGCTTTTTAAACAAACACTTCTCCGACCCCGATCTACGACACGATCTTACGTTTGTTCACCGCAGTTGAAAAACTTGCCAACTTTACGAGTTAAAGAAAAGAAATTCCAGTAACACTTGGGAGTCTTTTTTAGTTAAATTTGTCAGTTCAGTTAATAAGCAATTTCAAATATACTAAACAAAACAAAGGACTTTTAAAAATGTCGACATAAAGGTTGTTACTAAGCACAGGCGCTTGTAGATATACAGCTGCACCTGTGCTTCCCGCCCACGATTAGATGTCTACGCCTTTAGTGGTTGTATATGGTGTAAGCACTAGTTAGTATCGCGACTGAGAGATGAAATTCGATAGTTTACCTAATATATATATATATGTGTAAACAATAGACATAGTATCGTATTTTTCTCTCCTGTGCGATATTTACAAGTGATGTAAGTTCTACCCACAAGCGCCTGTGTGTCGTGGTACAATACATGTATAGGGTGGTGACCAGGCGCTGGACTAATACCAAGATAGCACGATACCTCTGTGTTATAGTTGTATAGACAAAACTCTGCCGCTAATTTCCTGTGTATATATTTCCAGTTCGCTAAATCGGTAATGGATTTTCGTGCAATGTAATTTTGTTTTCATGACGAAGTGGCCTTTAATTGTACACTATGAACCGCAATTAGTTTATAATTAGACATACTTATCTAGGCCTGTACAAGCTTTGTGATGGCAGTTGCGAATCACCAATGTGAGTTCGGCAGGTATATCTTACAAAATGGAATGCATGGTTTTAAATATTCTACTTACAAACGTTATTTCTTCAGAGACAAATAAATAATTATGATAAAGTTTTGCTTCTAACAGTCTAATATTCTACCGTTATTACTGAACTTGCATGCGTTATTTCTAACAAAATATATTCATAAAACATAAAGTTACAATTAAATGTTAAGCACAAACTTAAAAAAATGATCTCAAGGGATGAGGGGTTTCTGTCTACGATCACACAGGAATGATTTATTATTTTCTTCTCACACACTTTCTTATAATCATAAATTGCCCCGCGCCTCTTCAAGAGCTTTGACAACATTGACTTAATCCCACATGGATGCACTCAGTGGCCTGTACTATAATGACGTCACCATCAGATGGCGGCGTTAAACGGCGTTTGATTGACTGCAGCTAACTTGTGGTCGGCAAGTGACACCACCTCACAATTTATAGGATTCTTCTACAAACTTTCCCTGAAGGTCTTGCATGGATCTTAAAATCTAAGCTATAACATACTTTTTCTGCTCTTTCCAAATACCTGGTATGGCTTTAGTTTTTGTATTTAGAGTTGCATTTGTTTTTTCATATCCTGTTTTGCCAAAATTTAGGTTAAGGAATGGAAAAAATCATGACGTATGAATGTGTGCTTATGAATAGTCTACCCGAGGGTGCAGAATTTGGTGTCAGAACCGTTACTTAGGCTTTTACGAGATTCTTGACACCAAATTCTGCACCCTCTGGTAGAATATCCTTATCCAACATACCTGCATATGCTATACACTATTAGTAAAAACATATGCAATAAAAATGATCTTATGTAGTCCAGACCCAAGGGTTTTCCGCTTCCCGACGTTCCGTTTTCGTCTTTGGTCTTTTGGCCTTGGCCGTGGCTTGTTCTGCTGGTGTAGGAACCATCTGCTTGATTTCCGGCGTCATTTGCATGGAAAACCGAAGGTCCTTCATGTCCATGTTGCTGACGTCACCCACGCCGTATCGGTTGCACCGGGGGTAGCCGCACTCCAAGGTCGAAGGGGCAACGGAAATAAACAACAGTCGATCCAGGAACTCGACGGTTTCACCATGTGTGGTGTACTTCAAGACACCTTCCGACAACTCGCGCACACCGGCAATGATCTCCGAGCTGCTCAAGATCTCCATTTGTGGCGGGAACTTTTCGCGTAGCTTCGAATACCAGTTCCGTTTTGGCACAATTACTGGTAAACATTCTAACTCCCATTGAACGTCTAATTTACACGCTTGTAAGGCGTTGATAATATCCATATATGGCGTCTCGTTCTCTTCAACTCTTTGCTGTGCATCCCTGAAAACCGGAAGTGTTGTAATATTGCCAGGTCGATGAATTATCAACAGTTTTCCTTGCTTTGAAAGACATTTCATGATATTCTCAAACACATCTATGGGATTCTCAAAGTAACGAATTGCATCTATTATAATCACTTTATCAAACTGTGGTTTGTTCGTGTCCCGACTTTTAGCTAACTGTCGGAAGTACTCCTCAGCCCCGACATGCGCAACTCGTATCGAGAGAACTTTTTCCGTGTCTGTTTCAACGTAGCTGTAATGACCAGGGATAACGTTCATGGCTGGTTCAAGGAGACAGAATTTGTCCACTATTCTTTGGGCGAAACTCCCTTTGCTGTCCCCGATGTAACAGAACCGATCCGTTGTTCCCAGCTCCAAGTATTTGTGGATCAACGTGAACAGTTTTTCGTCGTACTCTCCGCCGAAGACATGTTTCTCTGAATCGCTTAATTGCGGAATGATGTAGCGGTTCTGATATCCTTCGGTAGCCACTGATAAAGGCCGAGGGGCCTCGGGTCCAAGAAATGAAGAAGCCATGGTAAAAGAAGAGGACTCTGACTGAGGAGTTCCGAATGTGATCTTAAACACTGGTTACAAACAAACCTGGAACAATAAGAGAAACAGGTTCTAAGACTTTCAAACTAGAATATTGTTTAATCTGTCTCTCGCTTTTGTAAAGATGAATTGAAGTAATTACTTAGACACTGTCAGGTAATGTAAAATTAGATCGAGCAAAGCTATTATAAGTACAGGTCTAAAGAAGATGATTTTTTAAGACTTTTAAATGCTTATTATTTCAGCTCCATGTGACCCAATTGCATGGTTTACGGTAAGTGGGTTCCGATTTGAATAAGGCCTCAAAGTACACTTTTTTTTACTTTACTATGTAGGAAGAAGCTATGCTCTAATCATTATAATTCTACTAACAAGGTAGAGTTTTCAAAACTGAATTCCTAATTTTCAAATACTTATATCAAGGAATATATTTACCTATTTAAATTATAAATTTGAATACGTCCAACTAGCTAAGCTAATATCAGAATTAGAAAACTTGTACTAAAGATACCAATGGAAGTTAAAAAGGACAATTTCTTTTGTTTCAATAACATTGTATTTCCAAAATTTGTAGATCAAACTTTATTTTTCAAGTATAACAAGATGTGTATAATTCTACTCGTCCAAATTTATTGCAACAGTTACATTTAGTTATTCTCTGACACAGCAAACAAAATTAAATTCCACTTTTTTATCATTTAAAAGAATATTCAGATGCCCCAAACAGGGTGTTTCACATATCCCAAAGGCTGCTGATCCGTCAAATTAAAGGGACTTTTTTATTTGGAAGGTTTTACTTTTAGTAAGTACCTGTAATGACGGCGAGTCTCACTGTGACCTACACTTCAGTCGGAGGATTACTTCCACTTCAATGCAGCTCAAAGACCTGTTAAGACATCAATATGTAAAGTAATCCAGTGATGTACTTTTACGTTAAATAGAGTCATTCAAAAGCGAAATCTCTCGTAAAATGTCTGTTGTTTGGTAAAAACACATTTTGTGGCTAGAATACACCAATAAGGTCAAATTCCTTTTAACACATATATATCCTTTAGCGATTTTGATTGGTTTAAATATCAAAGAGATTTCGTCATGATTAGAACAAGATAATGACGTCAGAAGGTGACGACACATTTGCCGTCGTCATGACAATAATAGTACGGTGATTTTAAAATTCATTTGAAGTTTTTTATTTTGCAAATGTGACGAATTATTTTTTTAACACACAATTTGGCTCGTTTACTTGAATGCAACGTGAACTTTTCTATCATTACATATATGTATGATGAGGTATGCCTCGTTTTCGTTGTATCTTAATATTTGTTGAATTTTGTATGGTTCTGCAATGCCTGGTGCCGGACAAGGAGCAATTCCACCTAACATTACATGTTAACTTTTCAGAAATTGGTTTATACAGAAAATACATACTGAACGAATGAGAATGAAAGAATGACTGAATGCAGAACAAGTGAGAAGAAAATAAACATGAAACTATAGAGAAAGCGGCTTCTTACGTCAATCGGGAACCCTCGGCACTTTCCGTAAACGAGAAAATACTTTTCGTTTTCGTTTTTGGAAAGTGCCGACGTTTCCCGATTGTCTCCTAGGTAAGGTTACAGCATGTTAAACGGTTGAACCGATGACTCCCAAACCTGTCATTCCTCTTAAAGAAGTAAGAGAAATATAAAAGTTCGAATAAAGCGACTTAAACATTTAAAAAGAAAACAGAGTATTGGTAGGATCAAAAAGAAAATCCACATAATGAAAGTTAATGGACGTTTAAACAGAGAAAGGTGGCTATATATACTTACTGTCAGAATTATCCATACCTTTTATTTACACGTCTTACCTGTCCGAAATGAAATCCAATATGTGATACCGAACAGGTGTGGAGTTAGATAAATACAGTGTATTGATACAGGTACGTCCAGGCCAGGTAACACACGGGTGTCATTATCAGATTTCCAATATACAGGTAAAATATCTACAGGTGTGTTTCATATATTTCTTCATAGGTTGGTAAGGTGTATTATGCTCAATACTCGATTTATTAGATTATACAAAGATAGAAATATTATGATTACGTGATCGATCCATTCAATAATATACAGGTATACGCATATGTTGGAGTTAGTACAATTGCACAATCTTATCACACTTAAATTTACCTGGTGTATATTCAATATTTATAAAGAATCGTCTTGTCATCGGATCATGAATAATTTACACATTAAGTATCCATGAGTACAAATGATACTAACAACAAGTACTAATAGGATAAAACCTGGTGTATTCAAATTTCGAGATAACACAAAATATGAATGAAGTTTGAAAAAGATCGATATTCGTTGCCCAACATGGCGTGTGAGTTCGAGATCAAACGATTATCACCCTACCCGACTCATACATTGTTATAAATAACACACGATTGTCAACCAACCTAAATATATATAGTTCGAAACAAAATGATGGTCATCCTGCCTGACGTATATTTCGAGATAACAGAGATTTACATCCTATATCATGCACAGTTCGAGATAACAACGCTCGATGATCACCCTTCATAATGTATAACAATACTAGATGGTTACCGTTTATGAAGTTCATTTAGTTCGAAATAGCACGACGGTCGCCTTAACTGATGCATATATAGTTCGAGACAATTACACACACAATGATTACCATATATCTAGTATTTTCATAGTTCGAGATAACAACAAACGATAATCAACCTACATGACATTTATAAAGTTCGAGATAAAACGCCTGTCACCCAAAAAACGTATATATAGTTAGAAAATACAAAACACAATGATCGCCCTATAGCGGAAGTGTATATATAGTTAGAAATAAGATGAGGTCGTCAATCCACTTGGCGTTTATATAGTTCGAGATAAAACGATGGTCAGTCTACATAACATATATATAAAGTTCGAGATAACACATGAATGTCAAAACACCTGATGTTTATGTAGTTCGATATAAAACGGTCACCTACATAACGTTTGCATCGTTCGAAATTACAAAACACAATGATATCCCTACCCGACGGTTCTATAGTTTGAGCTTAAACGATGGTTAGACTACATAACGTATATATAGTTCGAGATAACCTCACATGGGTGTCAAATCAACTGAGATTTATATATTGTTCGAGATAAACAACGGTAACCTTACATAACGTATATATATATATATTTCGAAACTACAAAAATAATGATCTCCCTACCTGATGTATATATAACTCGAGATACAACACATGATTGTCGAACCACATGAGGTTTACATTGTTCGAGATAAAACGATGGTAAACCTTCATAACTTATATATAGGTCAAGCCTACATAATTCGAGATTTCAATACAAGATAGCCACCCTGTCCAAAGCATTAATAGTTCGAGATAACGCATGATGGTCACCCTCTCTGCTGTTTATGTAGCTCGAGATAACAACACTCGATGATCACCGTAACTGACTTCTATGTATACATTTGTAGTTCGAGATGAGAATTAAACCTCTCTGTTCTACATATAAAGTCAAAATATAACAGCCCACCTAGCGGTGATTTGACAGAAGTATGGAGCCAATATATTATCGTACGTAGTCCGTTTACAGAAATCAACAACATGTACACAAAACAATATTTTTCTCTTTCAAAGCTATGGGAAAAAATAAACACTAGATTTTGATCGATATATAAAACTCTATAGACATTCGTCAATAACGGTGTTCCAGCAATAAGATTTGACGGTCTGCTATACACATATACCTGGCCTAGCATGGATCACAAATACTGGTACTTACCTGTAACACATCGGTCTGCCATCCCGTCTACAGTAAGCCAACTTTATAAATCTAATCTATATATATTATAAGACTTTTCTTTTATAACTTGACGATAACTGTCTTTCTTACCTGGACGAGTTCCGTTGAGGGTTACGTTATATTTCTTCGACTCCGCATTCCTAAATCTCCTTAGGGAGTCAGTTCAACATAAACACATGCAGGCCATTTTACTTGTGTCCCGATTACACAGATCGGCAAGGGCGCGTCTAATTACCCAATACTACCCAATACCACCCAATACTACCCAAAACCACCCAATACTACCCAATACTACCCCATACGATCCAGTTATGAACCAAATACTTCTTTATTACTGTGAAATATCACCNCAGCCACGAGCCATGTCTTTCAATCACCCACCGGTATACAAACTAGTAATTCCTTTCAGGACATGACCCGTCGTTAAGGAAGCTTATGAATATGTAAATTGACCGAGGGCAAAGTTCATAGACCAGTCATTTTTGTCAGATTGAATTTGAATCAGGATCGATAAAATAAATATTGGATACGGCAGTTACGCGTATACTTGTGTATGCCGTATAGTATACCGTAATATATCTATTGTAGACTTGCAAAGGTCCGAATCATGAAATAAAAATGTACTTTTTGATTTTAAACATTGTTTTTATTTATTCGGATTTTAATTGGCAACCTTAATAAAAATATACTTAAAAACGAAACTTAGATCTGTTTGGATGGCCTTCTGCTTGTATATACTAGCTTATCTCCTATTAGCTTGAACCAGACATCCAAGGGATCACAATTATCAGTCTATTTTTTCTAAATAATTATATTTTCTAGAGACGGGGCCATACTATGATATACATGTACCACGCCGAATTCACTCAGCACTGTGTTCTACCATCCTCGATACTCCAGGGGTTACGCTCACTTACGCTCTCTGCACAGAGCGTATGTGACGAGCGTATCCTCTGGATGTGTATTATACAAGGTCACATTGGGGCGCATCTAATCACCCAATACTACCCAATACTACCCAACCCAATACTACCCAATACCACCCAATACTACCCAATACTACCCCATACGACCCAGTTATGAACCAAATACTTCTTTATTACTGTGAAATATCACCTTTGTAGACGTTATTTACTTCCATCTGCCATATTTTATCGGGAAATATGCGATTTGGTGCCGAAAACATCACCGAATTGCCGTGACTATGACCCAATACTACCCCATACCACGGAATTAGATTAGATCTAAGTCCGTGCCCATACCACCCAATACTACCCAATACCACCCAATACTACCCCATACGACCAAGTTATGAACCAAATACTTCTTTATTACTGTGAAATGTCACAGTTATTTACTTCTATATGTCACATTCTATCTGGAAATATGCGATTTGGTGCAGAAAACATCACCGAAATGCCGTGACTAGGGGTTCGACGATTTACAGGAACGGGCAGAAATCTATTAATTTTTATATAGGCCTATACATTAATGAATATATATATTAGATCAGAGACGTATATAACACAGTTATGGCTTTATACGTCTCTGATTAGATACATTAAAGTATCATTATCGGGTATAAGATATATTTGATAAAATGATTGCAATTACATGATCGCCATTCGGGGCAGAATCGGACTAAATTATATTTATATTTATATTATTATATCTTTTTTATCGGGTACAAGATACGTCATTTGATAAAAGGATTGCAAAGAATTTAAAAAAAAGTATTGTATTGATATGGATCGGGCAAGAACGGTCGACGATTTACAGGAACGGACAGAAACGGGGCAGGATCGGACTTATTTATATATATTTATTGTATATATTTAATTATCCTTATCTGGTATAAGGTATATTTGATAAAAGAATTGCAATTACAGGAACGGGGCAGGATCGGACAAAATATATATATATATATATAAATTGCCAGGCCGAGGTTCCAATTTATGTCTCTGTTTTATTCTATAAAAAAGGGTTGTTCAGAGAATTACATATTACATATATAATAAATATGTATCTGGGTTATTTTCTCATTTATATATATGACATTGTTATTGCGATGTCATAACACCTGAAACATTGGAAATGACATTATGATAACTAAATTTTAATAACTTCATAACTTATACTCAACTCTTAATAAATAGCATGAATATATTTTGAGTGAATTAATTGGTGTTAATGTGTAGATTACAATCCCATCACGTCTACGATCTTTAAAAAAAGAAAATACGCAATTTTCCAACTAAAAAAAGTGACATCAATCTGAAAATTAAATATTATTCTATATGTAAATATAAATTAATTGAAATACGTGTTTTACGTAAATAAATATTGAAGTCCATATGTTGGATTGTTAGGCCTTATCTGTTTTAGAAAAACAATACTGTATATAAAGAAGAAAGAAACACGCTTTTAAGTTTCAATTTTTTTCAAAGGCCGATGTGGTCAAAACTGATTATCTAATTCCGTTATAGTAGACAATAGACTTCTTGTTCCAATGTTCAAGCTGGTTTTAGGAAAGGCTACTCTACAACTGAAAATATATTTATCACTCATGCTTTAATATCTATATACTTTTCAAAAAGTAAAAAGCTATTCTGTTCATTCATTGATTTCAGAAAAGCGTTTGATACTGTTTGGAGGGTAGATTTATAGAAGAAATTATTGTTTAGGTGTGAAATTACATGGTAAATTATCCGCCATGTTTGATTTACATGTGGGATTATTACAAGGGGAATCGTTATCTCCCATGCTTTTTTCATTATTTGTAAATGATATGGAAAGTGAATTTATAAATTCTAATTGTCAAAGTTATGAATTACAGTTGTTAAACCTGTTTATGCTGATGTATGCGGATGACAGTTTTATTCTCGGAGGATGCTACCGATTGTTTTTAGAAAACAGAAAAAGAATGTTACCTTCTGAAATTTGGACTAACAATGGTAAATCTATCGAAATTGTTGATAAGTTTTGTTATCTTGGATTAGTTTTTAATTATAATGGAAGATTTACTGTAACACAAGATACATTTGCTTGTCAAGGACGGAAAGCATATTACCACTTAAAAAGAAAAATGAAGATTTTGCCCTTAATAGGGAAACTAAAATGTCTTTATTCGATACATATGTTGCATGTATATTGAATTATGGGTGTGAATTTTGGGGACATAATGTATCGCCACAAATTGGAAAAATCCATCTCCTTTCTCTCAAAAACCTATTAAATGTTAAGAAAACTCAATACTTCTATGGTTTACTTTGAAACTGGGAGATATTCATTATATGTGCAACGTAAAATGGCCATAATGAGATATTGGTTAAGTTTTTTAAATACTAGTAACTGTGTTTTAAAATCATGTTACGACGCATTAGTCGAATTGAATATCAGAAAACCTGTAAAATTAATTGGGTTTATCAAATTAAGCATGAACTATGTAGTTTGGGTTTTAATTATATTTGGACTTGCCAATATGTACAAAATAAAAATCTTTTTTTTTGCAAATGTATGCTCAACGTGTTCATGATGTATTTATCCAAGAATTACGCAATGCTTGTACAAGCCTCTTGTTGATACCTTTTGCGTCCAGTTTTATCTGACTAAGCCCATTAATATAAGGATAAAAAAGTTATTGAGTCAATTTCGCATGCAAGCACACAGTCTTAACATAGAATCTGCGATAAAAATGATATCGAAGATGAAGTACATTTTGTACTACTTTGTCCTGCATATTTTGATTTAAGAAAAACATACATCAAACAGTATTATTATCGACATCCATGTGTCTATAAACTAATAGAATTATTTACCTGTAAAAGTGTTAAATCTTTAAATAGACTGGGTAAATATTTGTGGCACGCTACTGCTAAAAGGAACATTCTTCTCGCTCAGTAGTGATATTATATCAAAACATTATTTAAAACTACTTCTATATAAGTGTACATGTATACTAATAGTTATTTAAGATTCGTTGATAGTGCGTTAAATAGTACTTTAATGACATCCCATTGGTTCTTTCTGGCTGTTTGAAGTTATATGTAGTGTTTTCATTATGATGTCATCTTTTCATGACGTCACATATCTACAGGAAGTAACGTCACACATATGATTATTTAAACAATAACTGGTTGTCTGGATGTAATTATATCAACAATAATTACATCGAGACAACCAGGTATTTTTTATATTTATATATTTTTTCTTTTTTCAGATATATTCCTAAAAAAACCATTTGCCCTGCCTCAAAATACATTTCAGGCGGCCATTTTGTTTGTTTACATATTCCTACCCCTGAAACAGGCAGTTGTAATCATAGTCGAGCAGTTGTAATTATAGCCTATATAATTACACTTGCCCTCTAACACTGTTGTAATGGGACGGCGCGGGGGCAAATGTAAATATATCATTATATACTGTCCTTCTCACAACTTTACGAAAAATCATGCTGTAAAACTGCAAGTGATATCATTATTACATGTCTGTAGGCATATATATATTTGAATGGAATTGTCCTCCGCCATCTTGTACATTACATATGAATTTTGAATACTTAATTATGTATGTTTGTAACCTATATGCTGTATTGCATTTGAATATAATAAAACTTGTCAAACTCCAGATAACAGATTGCTGTTATTTCCTAATTAGTGTTAGAAACTCAGGGTTATCAAAAGTATATATGTGTATACAGTATCTCTGGGAGTCGAATCAAGTTTTCATGTCATTTAGTATTTTGCTTTCGGATGAACAAAGACGTATATATTACGTAATATGTAATATATACGTCTCTGGATTGATAAGAAGCGTAACGTAACTCCTTTTATTTATCTATTGAATTCTTACATTGATTTATGACAAACTACTCGTCTACCCTTCATAAGATTGGTCAGAGAACTATATCTGGAAAAATATCTAGCTTGTCCAAAACAGACTATCTGTGAGTTAATCAAGTAATTGAAAGGACTTCGAATCATATACAATCCATATACTTTTTGAATGTTATAGTATTTGATCTTGATTATCAAATTTAACTGAAGGTTCTTCTCCAGCATTGTTATATAATTGATATTGATACTGTTATGTTTAACAAAATTGAATAACTAACAATTTTGAAAAGTAATTTCAAATTTTCTAAATATTTCCAGTTAAATTTATATATATGATCTTAATAACACCATTTTATGACATGAATAGAATTAATATAGTATCATGTAATTGCAATCCTTTTATCAAATATATCTTATACCCGATAATGATACTTAAATGTATCTAATATATATATTCATTAATGTATATATAATAATTAATAGATTTCTGCCCGTTCCTGCCCGTTCCTGGAAACCGTGGAACCCCTAGTCACGGCATTTCGGTGATGTTTTCTGCACCAAATCGCATATTGCCAGATAGGATGTGACATATAGAAGTAAATAACTTCAAGAAATGTGATATTTCACAGTAATAAAGAAGTATTTGGTTCATAACTGGGTCGTATGGGGTAGTATTGGGTAGTATTGGGTGGTATTGGGTAGTATTAGTTGTATTGGGTGGTATTGGGTAGTATTGGGTAGTATTGGGGATTGTTGGGTAGTATTAGTTGTATTGGGTGGTATTGGGTAGTATTAGGTAGTATTGGGTGGTATTGGGTAGTATTGGGTGGTATTGGGTAGGATTGGGTAGTATTGGGTGGTATTGGGTAGTATTGGGTAGTATTGGGTGGTATTGGGTAATTAGACGCGCCGCCGCCATTGTACTGACACACGGGTAAACCAGTTGTTGCAATAATAAACAACATTTGATATAATATAATATACAACATTTGATATAATATAATATACAACATTTGATATAGCGCCCTATCTAGCTACAGTAACATAAGCAACTCTAAAGCGTTTTACAGTACATATATACAAACAATTAATACAGTTAGCATATACATTTATCAATACAATTTTGAAGAATTCACAGGAGCTGCCTTATCAGGCGCTAACTACTAGTCATATGGCACCTGGCTAATATCTCCCTATATATGTGTGTATGCCTGCGTGTGTGCTGGAGATGTAATGTGTTCTGTTTGTAGTGCGGCCGTGCTTCCAACGGCATCATTTAAAGTGCCACCTCAATTGAATGCTACAGCACAGATACCGCAACATCCACCCCAGACCAACTTACCCTCCACCTGGGCTGTTGGAGTTGTGTGGGCAGGAGAAAAACACTTTCTCTGACTATCCATGCGTACGACGACTTCGAGGATCGAACCCCGGCCGCCTGCGTGGAAGGCCGGAGTGTTAACCATTCCACCAATCCGCAATAACCCTAAATGTTGAACGTTAAGCAGGACACAATAACTACTATTTTAATTAAGGACTTTGGTATATCAGGTGCTTCCAAGCAACGCGCTAGGAATTGAAAGGAAACAGAGAGAAATTTTGAAGATCCCGAATGTTGCACTGGCTGCAGCAGATTGACTTTGGTCACTTTTGTGTCCCCAAATATAGGGCATAAAAGTAACACCTGATTCCACACGGGGTTCCCATATAAGTTACCTCGTTCAGCATACAGTTGTTAAGAACAGGTGTATTCTTAGCCCGAGTTTCCTATGGCCATGACATCAGACTTAGACATTTTGACAGATAGATGTCTGGTGTGGGCTACAGTATCTGTCAAAATGTGAGGGCCAGATGAAACTCGGGCTAGTGTATTCTTTTCCCAGTTCCCGCCCTGCGAGTGGAGAAAAGGTATGAATATCCAAAATCTAACAATGGGTGCAGCAAACTTGTTTTGGTTGCCTTTGTATCCCAGAGTATAGAGGGTAGAGTAGAAATCCACTATTCTAAGAGGGTTCTTACGAGAGTTTACCGAAGGACGAAATGGCACAAATTATATCCTTGGATGTAATAAAAAAAAGTAATGTCAATGATAAGCCTTGTCGTAGAGCCAAGATAATCGATATGTGCACTGGGTCATAGTAATGGTGAACGCCTTAGGATCTCCAATCTTTAGCTTCTGTAACTGTCGGAGATCCAATGAAAATAAGTCGATTTTGTAATTATTTTGTAATTATTTCGATAAAAAAAAATCATTCATTGTTATCGAGATTGTATCCCGTTGGCAATATACCGGTCAGATTTCCCCTTGTCGTTGTAAAAGGGACATGCTGTCTATCTATATACATGTATTTATATAAATAACGAGAAAGATAATTGTCTAGTATGAGACACAGGGACCTGGGAATTTGCTACAGTGACCTAAAATGATGTGTAAAGAGTATTATTCCGTTTTACGTTAAAATCTAACAAGATCAATGTTAATAGTAGTTGCGTGCCCCTGTGCCCCGAGTACAGTGGTGGTGACATTTTTACCAAAAGTTTATCTAAACCTGTAAAACATGTAATATTACTCAGAACGCATCAGTTAAAGTCCAAATATAGCTACATTGTAACAAATTCTCAGGTCCCTGTGTTATAATAGAGTATGATTCGAATACAGTGTTTCTACGAAAGCCGATAAACAATTAATTTACAGGACTATCTTTGTGGAAATTGGTAACGAAAGTACTTCCGGGATATGATTCGCCGATAACAATTATTTATAATTTAAATAATTATTTTCTGGGAGGTTTGCAGACAGAAATATAACTTCCAGACATTTATATCGCTATCGCTATCGCTGCCAATACCAACGAAGTCTTCTAACAAAATCACGTGAGAGACGTCTAATTAAAAGTCCAGAGAAAGATGCAGGCTTTTATTAAACTGGTATTTCCAGAAATAGTTTGCTTTACGTCCCATCAACAGCTATGGTCATTTAAGGACGATCCAGGTTTTGGAAGTGGAGGAAAACTGGGGTGCCCGGAGAAACCACCGACCTGCGGACATGCAGTACCTGGCGACTGTCCCACGTAGGCTTCGAACCCGCAACCAAGTGGTGGAGGGCTGGTGATCGTGGACAGTGATCAGGCGATATGGCATGTTTAAAACTATTCATTAAATCAATGTCAGAAGGTTCAAATATCTGGATCGTTTTGTTTTAGTTAATCAAGTAGGATACCGGCAATGATTGATAGACTAAACAGGATGGTGCTGTTGAATGCTTGGAGAGCGTCCCCAACACCCCCTCTCAAAACAACAACAACAACAACAACAACAAAACAAACGAACGAACGAACGAACGAACACCAACAAGCAAAACGACAAGTTAGATGCATATGAAGCATAACTTGGCGTTGACCTCTTACGGCAATATCTGTCCTACCCACCACAACTTATGCGATAATTATGTTTTAGAGCCCTCTTTAAAAACGAAATCAATAAAAAAGCAAACACAGCTACAATAAACAAACAAACGCCTACCACAGCACTGTATCTCGGATATACGCAGCCATCTGATGTAATTGATACATCAACACAATTATATTAAGCCCGTAAATCTTATTAATAATGAATACGACCTCTGACATCCTACTACATCAAATATGTTAAAATTGCATGGGAACGCACGTCAGATAAAGAACACGTGCACATGTATGGTAAAATATTTACCGCTAAAGACACATTTGAACTCTACCAATTCAATGGTTGGAATAGTTCATTATGAAATTCCAAGGGTGAATGAGTTATTTTGGTGTCTAAATTTATTATAATGATACTCTTTCTGCAGTGGAGATACTTAGAAGTTGTCATGTGATAATTTCTATATCCTACCCGAGACCTCCACACCTGTCAGTGAGGCCGCATGCGCAAGGGCTGATATGGGATAGGATATGGGAATAGCCATACTCATCCTCGATATGTACTCCTGGAATATGTCATAAAAAAATTGAAAGCTCACTATGCACCACCTTGTTGATGAGACAAGAAGACTAGTGTGATCCTTTGGTGTATATAAAATGAATCTCGCGGTCGCGTAACGGTAACAATTGACTGACTTTGAAGTTGGGTGTCGCCCCTTTAATCTTCAAAGGACATGTATCAGCCTAGTGATTGGTCATTTTTTTTTACCTGAGACCAAGCTGCCTTTGTGCCTTCAATTTTGTTATGACATATTCCAGGGGCACAGAGAGCGTAAGTGGGCGTGACCTCTGGATATCGAGGATGAGCTATATTAATACTATTTTTTTTCTATCATGTACCTACTATCGTAAATATTAATACTTTACAACATCGAAGTCATAAAACCACAGACATACAATAAGACGAATACATCCAGGATTGAGCTCGGGTCCTGCTTCGCCCCTGGGGTCTTAATTATTTCTTAAAGATACCATGGTCGGAATCACTCGAATTAAATTAAGTTTGAAAATGTGAAATTTCATTCGTCCGTAAAAAGTCTCGTATATTCTTTATATATACCACATCTGTCTGTATTTTTTATGCATTTATGTTATCATTCGTTTGACTTAATTTATGAAGAACTTGAACTTGCATTTATTTCTTGAGACATGGGAATAGGAACAAGTGAACTACGCCAAGGAATTAGATTGTTATCTAAGTCCGTGACTACACAGACCCTTTGAGCCTCTTGTATATCATTGACATTTAGTACGTTTTGTGCTGAAATAATGATGAGTGAAAGGTTGATAGAGTTTGTTGTGTAATATGTTTGATTTTTCAATAGTTTATGTTTGAATTAACAAATTTGATATCATATCCGTTCGTTCTGCGATGAATAATACATTTCGTTCCGTTCTCTTCATGTTTTGTATTTTATATTTTCCAATTAAAGGTCAAGGCCATTCGACTGCAATGGCTCTTTTACAGGTAGGCGGTAGCAAAATATAAACATTTCGGATATGTAGCAGTATACAAGTTTAATTAAAAATACAAATCGCTTGACAAACGACCAAATTATGTATACTATTGAAGAACCTTGAATCGATATTAATATCATATTGAATCTGAAACAAAATCGAGGAAGTCGGGGGGGGGGGGGGGGGCTGTTTCACTTCCAGCTGACTTGTCATCTTCAGCTGTTCAGTCCCAGTTCTGTAGGAAATTACAAAGAGACGTTTAGCTTGCAGTAAATCTCTTCATTTAAATGTAGATATTGTAATATGTATGTCAATGCCTACCATCACTCGGTAATCAGCATATTTGTATCTATGCACGTTCGAAATTAATGGGCGAAACTAGTGGTGTAACAGAGATTATAAATGCCTCCCGAGTCCTCTACACTCTAAATAGGGGACCTGAATGAGCTACACAGAATGTCCCCTTAGATGAGTCAATAGGTTAGAAAGTAGTTTACCAGGGTGCAAACTCCCCTTCCATTGAAAAATTACTTGTCCTGAGTGTTTCCGGGGGTAACGGTGATGCTTGTGAGATCAACAAGACTGAGTATTTTTGTAAATATTTTACAGGTCCCTACATAAGTGCGAGTGCAACAGAGGTCATTATTAGAATCCTTTGTATTGCCTTTGCTAAGGATCAAATCCAGGACTTCTGGTCTACTAGTCTGAATATTGATTAAGAAAATTTTCCAAAGCTAGTATTTTACCAGAGTGATTGAGTAAACACTTGGGAAATGTGATTTCGGCAACACCTTTTTGTAAGATATAATGTTGTCTGGGCTGTTTTGCAGCCACAGACAAGTACGCTATTGGCACGTTTACCGTATTATGATGTACTTGACAGGGTTATTTGCACCTGTCATAAGGAATTAAGCCTAACTCACAGCGTCGACTCAATCTTCTTTTATGAGTGACAATATTGAGATAAATGAGCACATACAAATATTTGTCATGACGTCTACAACAATATTTATTTTCTGTTTTCAGTGGAGAAGATTTAACTTTTTCGATAAAGAAACTGTTAAAGACCCAGACACAGGTCAGGTGTTTGATAAACTCAAGGTAAGTTAGACTAACTGTCACCGTACTACTGCCAAAGTACCTATACCTGTCAACTAATCAGATAATATCGGGCGAGACATTAATATATTTCATCTCATGACCAGATAAAACACAATATGGTCATTGTTTTAACCAGATAAATATTCAGCAGCATAACTTACCGAGATCGATTACATCACCCTACATGTACATTTGTGTATACGTCAAGCCGTAAATAAATGATTAAGCGATTTTTAAAACATTTCAAAACAAAACCATGGATTACACCAGAGACATATTTTTTTACCTCTGAATGAGTATGTAATAATAGGTTCCGTTTTTTAACATATTGATGCAAAATATGATATGTTTCCTCAAACGATGATTTGCTTCTTTTTGTTAAGTATATGTGTATACTGTAACGTCACGCTACCACAATTGGCATACTACCCGAATTAGTCAGAAAATGGTTTGAATAAAACTTTAAGATTAAATTTGAGCATTTTTCCTTCGGCAGTGTAACAAAGGAGATATTTATCAGCATTTTCACGTAGCAGTTTTGTTTCAGAAAACCAGTAAAATCGACGTGTGTCGACGAAAATTTGGAGGATTTTGAATAAGCTGGTCCTTTTATATAAAAGTAATATATTTTGTTGCACAACAACTAGTAGAAATAAAAACAAGTTTTATAGTCTGTGATATGGTGTACCAATTTGGGGTACTAATCACGGCCATAAAACGGACGAAATCTAACTGCGAGTTTAGCGTTCCAAAACAAATATCGTAGAATCAAAAACTGTTTTTGAAAATGAACCACCATAGATAGTGTTTGTCAGGAATCAAGAAACATTCTTGGTACAAGATCTAAATTTTTAATATCACAGAAAAACTGTCACATTTGTACCAATCGAGGTAGCGTGACGTTAGGATATACTTATTACACGTTTAGTGAACCGGTTAGACTTATCTTCCTTCCAGCAAAGGTAATATTTGGTCAGCGTATACGCGTAAGTGAGGCTTATCTGTGCCGGTCACCGAGGAACGCGATGACCTTGATGGAACGCGGAGGTTGATCCTCTGCGGATTTTCGTGACACGATTACGTGACATGAGACGTGAAGGATCGCGGTGATACGATCATCAAAGTCCCTGATGTGATTTATCACCGCGTTTGACCACCCAAACGACATACTTGACGCGATGGCTGGGTGAATTAGTTACACTTACTGTGAAGAGATCTGTAGATTCTGTATCATTTCTGACTGTTTAGGATGCTGAAAATGGTATTACTTACTATGAGCAGATATAACAGGATCATATCTGGTCATGACTCTTGGCACTTTCAGAGGTTGACAGGATTGCAGACCTAGTGTTGTACCAACAGTAACATCAGAAAGTTTGTCAGTCCATTGTGTCAAGTAATGAAAAAGACCATTGTCTAGTGGCTTGTTTGTTTATGCCATCCTTGATATCCAGGAGTTACGCTCACTTTCGTTCTCTACACCCCTGGAATATGTCATAGCAAAATTGAAGGCACGAAGATAGCTGTTTGATTGGTCTCAGGTAAAAAAAAACCTGACCAATCGCTAGGCTGATACCTGACCTTTGAAGATTACAAAGGAGAGACGCCCAACTTAAAAGCCTGGCAATTTTCACCGTTACTGGCTGCGAGATTCTTTTGATGTATATCAAAGGATCAAACTAGTCTTCTTGTCTCATCAACAAGGTGGCGCACACTAAGTCTTCAATTTCGTTATGACAATTCCAGGGGTGTAGAGAGCAAAAACGAGCATAACCCCTGGATATCGAGTATGGTTTATGCAGACCAACCGGTTTGTCTATTTTTATACGCTCGTTAAATATGACGGGAGTTTTATGGTATGGGTTTGTCCGTCCGTCTGGCGTAAACTTTTGTTTGTCCAGCAATCGCCTCCTACATTTTGCGACCGATCTCTTTGAAACTTGGTATACATTTATCATCATGATATGAAGTTGTGTCTCCTTTAAAAGAATTTTGATTCGACAAATTTTGCAAAAGTTATTGCCCTTTGTTTATTTCAGTATTTGATTTTTTGTCCGGAAATTTTCTCCTACATCTTTTGACGGATTCCTTTAAAACCGAGTAGGCTAAATAATCATGACATGTTGTTGTGTTTCCTTGAAAAGAAATTTAATTCAACAATTTTTGCAAAAGTTATTGCCCTTTGTTTATTTCAGTATTTGATTTTTGTCCGGCAATCTCCTCCTACATTTTTCAATGGATCTCTTTGAAACTTGGTATACATTATCATCATGATATGAAGTTGTGTCTCCTGTAAAAGAAGTTTGATTTGATGATTTTTGCAAAAGTAATTGCCCTTTGTTCATTTCAGTATTTAATTTTTTGTCCGCAGATTTTCTCCTACATTATTTATAGAATGTCAGCTAACCACTCTTAGAATGATGCAGATCTTATTTCAATGTAAGAAAGTGTATAACACTTTATGGCATTCGATGGGGTATATTGTTCTGCCCCCCGGTACTCTTGTTTAAAGTAACATTTCAGGGTAAACTCTGACGGATATGCAAATGCTTTCGCCAAGACTCGCCAAAAGCAACATCAATTCAATAGGTCCTTCCTTATTTCATAAATGAACAATTTTGGTCAAACTGTTTGGATTGCTTTAAATGAAAGCGGCCTAGTTGGATCACTATACATGAAAGAGACCCAGATGTACTGTACTTTACAATGTCATAAAGTTAAACATGAATATATAATATAATGTATTGAAATATTGTAACTCATTTACCCCTGAAATTTCTTAATGAACTATTCCATCCTTTGAACTAGAAAAGTTCATATGTGTCTTCAGGGGTGAAAGGGTAAATAACATATATAATAAGAAGCATATTTGTAAAGCTTGATTTTAGATATAAACCAATCTATATCAATAGTTACCTTTAAAGTTACTTATAAATTTTGAAGTGGCTTTTCTATTTTTTCAGGATGTGAATGTGTCCGCGAGCGTGAGTGGTCATGGTCAACTGATCGTAGGCGACCACGAAGGATTCCTGTACCTTGTGAGCAGACAGCTTAAACTCAGCGTATTCAAGGCGTACGAAATCAGAGTGTCCCACCTCTTCCAGCTTCGTCAACACAATCTCCTGGTGTCGGTCGGAGTAAGTACACATTGGCTGGTTTGGTTGGTAAGATTTTTATTGTCGTCTTTCAAGGTCTGTGTTCAGTCGATGCGGGTATAAGTGGCCTTTATTCTCCCTCTTGGTGATCCAAAAGTCCTGGTCCTGCCAGCAGGTAAGTCCCAAGGCTGGACATCTCCTTAGGGTCTAATAAGCGTGGTCCTCGGCTGTGGTCAACAGATCCATGTCTTTGTGTGGTCCCCATGGTGCTCCTATGAAAAATTACTCATATAGAGTCACACATTTTCTAGGGAGAGAATCCAATTTCCTTAAAAATACATCTTGTAAAATCATTTTCTTTTGGTTCACAGTTATAAAAAAATCCTAATGCATGATTCATGTTTCCATTTATAAATGAAGTAAAAATAACCTCTTAAATTTGAAGTCTCGGAAAGTATTCTGGAAAAATGCTGAAATATTTCTTGGAGCTTGAATTCAGTGGAAACATAACAGTATTTGTTACTGAGAACAGTTCAAATTTTGCCTACTGGCTGTGAAGAGCAAAAGACAAGGAACATTTTAAACACTAGGAAAGTTAGTCGTTTAGAGTTCTAGCAATTGAAATATTAACGTTATAAAGCCAAGGGAATATATGGAGTAAAATTTAAGGTTATTTCCTTTTAATTTGATTAATAAATAGAAAGGGTTCAAATTTTATCCTTAAAAAGTTCTTGTGATACTGAGTAATTTGTGCCAAAAAAGAACTTGTATGTATGTATACTCAACAGTTTTCACAACTACAGCTCTAAAACGTTACACATTTATTTCGTCCAGGAAGATGAGCAAGGTGTCAACCCACTTATCAAGGTGTGGAATTTAGACAAGGTAAGTTTTGATGAGCCAGACATTTTCCTCGCTCTTTCCTGGGTCTGAAAAAATGGGCCCATTACCTATCTAAGTATTACAAAATATTTCAAATTCCAAAATAAATTTTTGATTCCAAATTTTGATAGCTAAAATTGAAAATAAAATAGATGAAAATTGCATTTCTTGGGCAAGACAGGTTAGATATGTGCGACTTCACCTATTTATAGCTCTAGTTTTCAAAATTCTATGGACCATTGGCCCTGTTTATTTGTTTATCATAGAAAGTTGTATGCCAAGATAAATTTAAGAATTACATACAAATATGTACAAAATGTATACACCTTTCATAATTGTCCTGAGATGAGAATTGATTTTGTGACATAAATACATGACTGTATAATGCATCTCTCTCTTGAAATTTTCAGATTGAGAAAGGAACACCAGTTTGTACAAGGATAACCAGAGCTATTCCAGGCAATAAACCTACCCCTGTAAGTATATAATTATATATAAGCAAGAACTATTCCAGGCAATAAACCTCCCCCTGTAAGTATATCATTATAAAAGTAAGAACCATTCCAGGAAATAATCCTACCCCTGTAAGTATATCATTATAAAAGTAAGAACTACTCCAGGCAATAAACCTACCCCTGTAAGTATATAATTATATATAAGCAAGAACTATTCCAGGCAATAAACCTTCCCCTGTAAGTATATCATTATATAAGTAAAAACTATTCCAAGAAATAAACCTACCCCTGTAACCATATAATTATTTAAGTAAGAAATATTCCAAGAAATAAACCTACCCCTGTAAGCATATAATTATATAAGTAAGAACTATTCCAAGAAATAAACCTACCCCTGTAAGCATAATTATAAAAGTCCAGCGACAGTGGTGGCTTGGTCAGCAGTCTAAGGGAGATAACTCTCCCAAAATTCACTACAATATCATGTCTAACGGATAGAAAACTCTGTAAAGTCTTCCTGAAAAATGAAATTTGTTTTAACCCTTTCAACACTGTAGACCATAATGGACTCATCCATCTATCAATGGATGGTGAGTCTACTTCAGTTACATAGGGTGAAATGGTTATTGCTCGGTACCAAGAGACTGATTTAATACTTACAGGTCACATGTCTTGCCGTACATGAAAACCTGGCCTGGATGGCCGTGGGATTTGAGAACGGGAGTGTGGTGCTTTTCAAGGGGGATGTCACCAAAGACAGGTTTATATCAAGCTTGTGTCTTGTGTTTTTGTCCACCCATTTAAATGTTTTCAATCTCATGTCCATTTGCTGCATTTTACATATATACCAGTACTAAGCTAAGTTACTGGAGAGTTTAGATTTGTTTCAGGACTCAACTTATTTTGAAATTCTCTTTGCAATATAACTAATGGTTAAGAAAATCCAACTGTTTGATTTGCAACAATAATGTATGCAAAATTCTTAGAATCAGTATGAAGCTGATTGTGTTAAAAAAATTATATACTTATAAATGTTGTAATTTTTAATTTCCTTTTGAATAGAACATCCAGAGTCAAATTCTTTTAAGAAGTTTACAGAAATCAACAGTATCTGTTTTTGAGAAATTATTTTACATATAGCTTGCTGGAACTGATCACAATTGGTGCAAAGAACTGTATTGTTCTAAATTGATTTTCAGAGCAATTTCATACATCCTTGTCCCAAAAAATATTTTAAGCAAAATGCAGACCTAACATATTTATAACAGATGTATGCATTTTGTGGTCTCCATTACTGAAAAAAGACCAACAGAGGAACGACTTACTGTTTATGTCCTGTCTTGTATTTTTTTTTTAAACAGACACACCAAGACGAGGATTGTGTACGAAAACCCGAAACCTGTCACTGGTTTAGCTTTTAAGACTTCGGGATCTAAATCTATATTCTTGTTTGTGGTTACGGACTCTCAGGTGGTTTCTATAAACATCTCGGGCAAGCAAGACCAGAAGGTAAGTTTCTCAAGACCTTGCGGCGCTCTTGAGTCTAACTCCTCAAAATTTCAGGGGTAACACAGGAGTTGCGTGTCGAAGAGCGCAAACCCTATACATTTGAGGATGTCTAGTGGATAGATTTCGGAAACAGTTCACTCTTGGACTTTGTAGGGCCGTTTTCGCGTGAAAGAAAACGAAAGGCCCTAATCTGAACCGAGGCTGACCTAGGGAACGTTCGGCACGTGTAGATTGACGGGTCCAGACGTGCCTGATCGAAACTTAATGCTGACTATTGCTAGTTTGCAATATTTCTTTCTAAAACAATGTCAAACCACATGTAGATTTTATGATACATTATGTAATCCAGTGGACGCTTGAAAGAAGGGCATAATATTCTTGATACATTGTTGTTTATTCTTCAAAACTGTGCGTTTTTAGCTCTGCTTATAGAATGGTCCAAGTGCGCTCGTTTATCTTGGAATATTTCTGCGCCACCTGTACTGTTTCCACCGGGATACACGAATGTAATCTAGGTTTGATTTCAACTCTCATTGAAGCTATGTCCGGTATGGCTTGTGTTGAATTGTAAATATATTCTTGTCTCTTTTCATCAGATTTGTCAGCATGAGGCTATATTTATGAATAATGAAAAATTATGAAAAATGTTTAACTTGTTTCATATGTCTGATAATGGATACTCCTTGTTCAAGATCTTCTTGGTATATTTTCACGTACCCTTCTGAAAACTGCACTTGTCTATGTCAGTTTGATTAAAGCAACTGTGAGAAGAAGTCTGAATATTAATTGAGAGATGTGTAAATCAGTAAAGAATAATCGCTTGGAAGCAATGAAATGATAGGACTTCTTGATGTGAATCCCTCACACAGTGTACGATGTGGCCGAATATGTGATATGCAAGTTTTGGTTTCAGAGCTTAGATGAACACTGATTATATGCGATAAGTGATTTGGCGGCATAGCGTATGATTTAACTCTTCACCCCTGAAGACACATTTGAACTCTTCCAATTCAAAGGACGGAAAAGTGCATATGAAATTTCAGGGTTGAATGAGTTACCACAGATTATGCATGATTTGTTGCTTAAACATTGAAACATAGATGTTTCAATATATGCGACTGGTTACAGTGTACAATTGAACAAAGGTTTTACGATATGCAATCTGTTACAGTGTACAATTGAACACTGATGAAATGATAGGTGACTTTTTGTTACAGAGTACGATTGAACACAGGTTTTACGATATGCAAATGATTTAAGAGTATGATCGAAGACTAATTATACATTATGTGATTTGTTGCAGAGTACAATTGAAACAGATTTTATAATATGTGAATGGTTTACGATATATGACCTAATATAAAGTACGATTGTACCCAGATTGTTTGATATTTTAACTTATTGTTACAGAGTACCGTAGAACACTTTGGTGCCTCACCCCACTGTACAGTGATGAGTGATCATACACAGGACCACCAGCTAGTCATGGGCAGGCAGGATGTGAGTACACTGTACATTTAGCTTGTCTTACTGATTTTGGTAACCAGAAAATTGCTCCAGTATGACAGGGAAAATCCTGGAATTTGAGAGCAGTGGGTCATTTCAGCAATATTTAGTTAATATCAAAATTAAGACGGGCCATTGTATGTAAAATTAAATGAAAATTGGAACATGGAGGGGTCAATTTCAGTTTTGAAGGGTCAATGGGCAGTCCCATGGCCCCCTCCAGGATTATCTCTGGTATGATATTTGATTACCGTATTCTCTGTAATTATCACCCAGGATGCTTGAAAAACTGGCTGAAGGGAGCGCTTATTAAGATAACAAAATACTGGTTGTAGCCGTTGCTGTAAAGTAACACATTCCGCCAGAAAATTATTGCAGTTTCACTGTCCTGTAACAATCCCATCCTCCCTACTTTGAGTCAGAGGTGATGTGTTGGCCCAATGGGCTTATTACAGGTTATACACCGTAATCCCTGTTTGGTTAACTTCCTGAAATTTGGGGGGGGGCGGGGTGTGTGTGTGTGTGTGTGTGTTATATAGGAATCACCCTGTCTGTCTGTCCGTTCGTCTGTCCGTAATCCTTGTAAGTGCAAACTCCTCCTCAGTTGTTTGTTGTTGGAGTTTTTTTTAACTTGGGCACAGTCAAACTACAAAATAAGTACATGTGCATAAAGAAAGGAATTTGTGATTTGACTATTATTTCTGGAGTTATGGCCCTTGAAACTTTAACTAATGCTCCAGAAGTCTTGTAAGCACAGGTTATGGTGATGTTTGTGTGTCAGGTACAGAAATTACTGGTGAACATCAAACGTTTTAACTACCTGCTGTGCCTAGTGACTGTAAATGTGTATAATTGTTTAAAATGTTTAGTTGGGTCTGTGTTGCTTCTCTTCTGGTTGGTAGACCACAGCGAAAAAGTTTTATGTAGAACATTTGTATGTTTATATATATTGAAGTTACCTGTGACTATCACGCTTACATCTATAATTCTGTATCAGGAAAGAGAATAATACGCTTCCACTGGGGTTAGACCCTCAATCTCCAGGTTCCTAGTCGGACGCTCTACCACTGAGCTAAAGTGAAATTCCCTCTAGCTTGAAGCTAGAGGGTGACCGTTATTCTATGTACAATTAAAATCTGCCACAAACCTATATATTGTATGTCGGCTGTCTGTCTTTTAGGCGGTTTACTTTTACCAGCCGGATGGCCGTGGTCCCTGTCTGGCCTTTGAGGGAGAGAAGCTCCACCTCCAATGGTTTAGAGGGTACCTTATAGTTGTAGGGAAGGAAAACAAGGCCTTACTTCGTACTGCTGTACTGTAAGTATTTAAATTCACAGTGTTGAGGTTCAGTAAAATTCTGTACAGAAATCAGGATTTTGTCTGAACCAGCGAAAGAACTTTGTTTCAACAAAGACAATGTATAACGAGTAGACACTCTATAACCTGGAACTCTCTGCTAACTGATCAAATTACCAGGTCTTCATCTTCGATACTCCAGGGGTTACGCTCACTTTCACTCTCTGCATCCCCTGGAATATGTCATAGCATAATGTTTGAAGGCACGCGCCTAGCTATTTGATTGGTCTCAGGTAAAAAAACAAACTGACCAATCGCTAAGCTGATACCTGTCCATTGAATATTACAGAGGAGTGACATCTGACTTCAAAACCAGTCAATTTTGTCAATATGAGGCCGTGAAATTATTTGGATGTACTTCAAAGGATCAAACTAGTCTAACTTGTATCATCCACAAGGGGGTACATAAAGGGCCTTCAATTTCGTTGTGACATATTCCAGGATGGAGAAATGGAAAGCGATCGTAACCTCTGGAGTCTCAAGTATATATGTCTGTTCCCAGAGGTATCAGGTTTAGACAGTGGACACAGTCTTGAAAGACAGCTTTCAGGATAATGCAATAGTTTAAAAAACAATGAGGAACAAGTGTTATTAATTTATACTTATTAAAGGAAAAAAATTGTATGCTGTGAATGGAGCAATATTCTGTAGAAACTGAAGCACTGGTCTATAAGGCAAATAAATGTGAATGTTTACTTGCCCGAGGATCAGATCAACTGGCTGTGGGCTTTAGGACCTGGAGATATTTTCTTGCCTTGATTTAACATTGTAACAAACTTTTCATCCTGTGACAAAATTGTATGTGATAGAATTTCGAGGCATGGTGATATTTCCTTAAAATATTTACAGGGGCGGACAGAGTCTGGAGATGAACATTGTGACAGTGTACGATATACAGAATAAATTTATCGCATACTCGGCGCCGTATCCTGACGTGATCGGTGTGATGTGTGAGTGGGGAAGTGTCTACCTGCTGGGCGGGGACAGAAAGGTAAATACAGGTTGTTTGAGAAGTCCGTAGTGTGTGAAGCATTTTAACCAAAGTGTTTGCCGAGGTTGTCAAATGTAAGACAGTCATTGAAAATCCGGTATAATGTTGATGTCAACTGTATGTTATAGTCGAGGTGCACCAGACATTTATGAGGATATTGTAAGAAATGACCGCTGGGTCAAAATTGGAAAAAGTCATATTAAAGCAAAAGTAGGAAAACTGGGAAACTTTCAAATGTTGAAATTATGGAATAGAATGCATCACTTTATCTTTTAAAAAAATGTCTAATCTACTGCATTATTCATAAATTAATAAATAATAATCAATGCTTTTTCTGCCTAAATTTGTAAGAGTTTGTTCCCTCATGAATTGTGAAAATAGATGATTTTATTGAAAATGAGAAGATTCTCCACATTTTTTTTAACACTTTTTTTTTGTGATAAAAAGCAGTCTGTATTTTTGCTGTTGGAAAACATGGCAAAACTTCCAACAGGGCAAAAAATCTCTGATGATAAAGAAAAATCTTTCACCATCAGGAATATATATCTAAATATTAAGAAACATGTTACCCATTTTTAGTTCAGAAATGGGTCTGTTTAACTGTCTGACCTAAAAACACAGGATAAGCAATCCCTTTTTGCACAAAGTGATTTCAGTAACAAACTTCAGTATGCTTCTGAAATGAATCTATGTGTGATTTGTTCTTTATTTTTACAGCTTTATCAACTCCAGGAAAAGGACACGCAGACCAAACTAGAAATGTTGTTTAAGAAAAACAATTATCAGCTAGCTATCAGGTGAGCAGGAGTCATGTGTTGATGGGGGGGTTGATTGGATAGGGTGTTGGCGGGTATATGTGTGATCTTGTCACACCTTCCCTCCCTAGCTTTGAGGGTGTGATACTTAGGTATGGAGGTATAGGAGACACAGTAGTCTAGTGGTAGGACGCCGGCCTCGTGACGGAAGGATTGCGGGTTCAAGTCATGTCACTTTTTGAATAAGATGCTTTACTACATTTGTTCCAATCTACTCAGCTGTAAATGAGAATATGTGGTTGGGTAGTGCTAGAATTGTCGAATGCTAGCTGTGAGCGCCGAAATGGCAGCACTGGCTGTATACTCCCCAGAGAGTTAAGAAAGCTGGTTGCAAAGGCCCTATAAGCACGGATTATAATTTGTGAACAGCTTTGAGACCTCTTACGAACTAGGTTGTGATAAAGCGGTATATAAGAACCTCAAATTATTATTATATAAATGGAAATAAAAGGATTCTCAACATCACTAGAACAGCTTTGTTGTTTTCTTAACATCTACATGTTTTGACTGCTATGCAGTAGGTATGGAGTATTGATAGAATTTGTCATGTACAATGTACTTGCCATTGGTATGGGCTGTTTGGCATGTGTGATACTGCAAGCTATACATGTGCATTAGCCTTATCCTGGACCAATCCATCCGCCCATCACAGGTCTGATCTGTTTTAGTTTCGGTTCAACACTTTTCAGATAAAAACCCGGCTCAGACTGGTAGTGTACACACACAATGCATCATCCTCGATACTCCAGGGGTTATGCTCACTTACTTTCTGCACCCCTGAAATATGTCATAGCCAAATCGAAGGCACGCGGCTAGCTACCGGGGGTGTTTGATTGGTCTCAGGTGGAAAATCATTACCAATTTTGATAGGCTGATACCTGTCCTTTGAAGGTAATAGAGGAAAGACACCAAATTTTAAAGCCAGACAATTTTATCATTATGCGACAGACAAATTCTTTTGATCTAGGCTTTTTGATATACACCAAAGCAATTTCGCTAGCCAAGTGTTTGCTTCGTATACACTCCACTTACCCTTAGTGGATATAGCCGTGTTAACCAAGCCTTCAAATTTTTGTGTGGTTCCAATCGCTCGCATTCAATGAAATCGCATCTTACATATAGCTCTGTTGACGAAGGAAAACAGTAATGGCAACACGTGTTGACAAAAGCACGTTTTCGTTTATGTCAGAGTGTTTTGCCCCCAAAATAGGCGCACAATCTTTGGGGAAACTTCTGAAGTTTTAGAGCAGTTGGTAGAAATCCTTGACTATGTGCCACATGTAAATGATGACCTGGGAAAATATGTGTGCTGCCTTTGGATTGTTTTCATATTGTTCTGTCATTTATACTCCGCCTCGACACTATCCCTTCTGCATGCTGGTAATGTTTTGTACATCAAAGAATCTCGCTCCTTATGGTAATCTCAAAAAAATCATAAATGCCATCACTCATAGTGTCCTACAGTCCATTTGTAAATAAATAAAGTTTTTCATCGAAAACACAAGATAGCAGTTAATTCATGTTGAAATTTTTATACAGATAACCTAGGATTACACTAACAAACCTTTTCAAAGAAATATTTACCACCATATTTAACATCTGTGTATGCTAATGTACCTTATTACACTTTGTTTAAAGCCTGGCCAAGAGCCAGCAGTATGATGACGATGGTCTGATCGACATCTTCACTCAGTACGGAGACCACCTCTACGGCAAGGGCGATCACGACGGAGCGATCGACCAGTACATCAAAACAATCGGCAAGCTTGAGGCTTCTTATGTCATCAGAAAGGTAATGATGGTGGTCAATGACCTACTTCAACAGATTAAAGTTAAGGTAATGAAGGTCACCAGAGAAAAATGAAAATATTTACAAGTCTTTAGGGTTAGTCTTTAATTCATTCACCCCTGAAAACACATTTGAACTCTTCCAATTCAAAGGTTGGAATAGTTCATTATAAAATTTCACAGATAAATGAGTTAACACTAATTAAATGAGGTGCAAGTATTATCTTTCCAAAAAACTAGAGTGCACTATGTCAGCAATTTGCTTTCATTGTCTTCATTAATGAGTTCAGTAACTGCCTAAACTCAATGGTTTAGGCAGTTGACTATTTATGGATTGACAAATGCGGAACATTTTCATCACCATAATCCATACTTTGATCAGTGCATCTATATTTGAAAGGACCATAGCAAAAGCCTTAGAAACTTAGAATGTCTCAAAATCAACTATTATTAATATCTTCATTTATATTTTCAAGTTCCTCGATGCCCAGAGGATTCACAACCTGACCAAGTACCTACAGGCCTTACATAAGGCCCAGAGGGCCACAGAGGAACACACCACTCTCCTCCTCAACTGTTACACTAAACTCAAGGACGTCAGTAAACTCGACGAGTTCATCATGGTAGGTAGCTTCAGCGTCAACTTTAATAGCTAGGTTAACTAGGTGAGAGTTAATTCAAACGAGATGACCAGAAAACATTTGATGTTGTCTGGTCATTTTTTCTTTGGACTTCTTTTACTTTTATGGCCGGACTGGTGAATGCTATTTAGGAATCCATCAACCAGAGTAAGCAGAACTTCACTGAACATCCACTAGTGGACGGTGGATCTCATTTCCCTTTGTATTATAAAAGTTAAACAAGGCATCACAAGTGGTACAAATCCTCTCCCATTCACACATTGTGTGACATATATATGAGGAAATGAATAGAAAATTCAATGATGCATCAGTATCTGCTCTAACGACTGCATTCTTCGATGGACAATAGAATTGTATTCCGTTGAGGGATGAAGTCCATAGAGCGATGACAAAGTTTTTCTAAAAAATAGTAAAGGTGACCTTGACCTTCAACACAGTAACCAGGAATAAAGTCGATAGAGGGATGACAAAGTTTTTCTAAAAATAATAGCAATGATCTTAATCTTCAACATAGAAACCCGAAACCCGAACTTGTTCAAGGTATTGCCATACCAAACACTTGTATGAAATTCCATTCTGTAATGAAGTCGCTATAGAGATGACAATTTTTTATCTAAAAATAGTAACAGTGACCTTGACCTTCATTGGAAAAAACCCCAAACGGGAACTTGTTTAAGGTTTTGTCATACCAAACAACACTTGTATCAAGTTTGATGAAACTCTGTTGAAGAAAGAAGTCGGTAGAGGTAGAGTGAAGACAAAAGTTTTTCTAAAAATAGTAACAGTGATCTTTACCGTCATTGAAAACCCCCGAAACGGGAACTTGTTCAAGGTTTTGTCATACCAAACAATACTTGTTTTAAGTTTCATGTAATTCCTTTGATATTTGAGGTCACTATGTGACGATAAAAAGTGTAACATACAGACAAATTGACGTACAGACATATGGACATATGGACATTCGTACCGGCTGAATTCTATATCCCCTCGAACTTTCGTTCCAAGGGGATAATAAACATGGTAATCAACCATCACAAGTTTAGGAACCTTTTTCTCCCATTTCATTCATATTATAGTTAGTAAACCATATAGTTCTTTTAGGAATAGATTATCCGGGTTTCTAATCGGGAAAATACTTGCCATCAATGATGAAATCACGATATAGAGGATGACATCACAGAGCGTTGTTACGTCACGTCATAATTAGAAGATTGACGAATGATATAACGTCCAGGGTTTTACGCACTAGTGGGTAACCAACAATGTTTATAATATTTACCAAAGTCCTGATCTGTTCACAAATTTACGCAAAAATGTATCTTCTATGAAAATGAAAGGAATTTGTAATACTATTACCTTCTTATATAAATAATAACCGCTCTTGCTAAAGCTAAATCAATGGATATTTGTGTTTTAGACGAAGGACCGTGAGGTGGACTTTGACGTTGAGACGGCCATTCGTGTGTGTAGACAGGCGAGTTACTACACTCACGCTCTCTTTTTGGCGGAGAAACACGCTAAACATCACTGGTATCTCCGCATACAACTGGAGGACATCAAACATTACCAACAGGCCCTCGAGTACATCGGCAAACTGGAGTTTGACGAGGTACAGTCATTTACTGTATTATCATGTGTGCCTTGTACGATGGCTGACAGCGGTTCGTTGTACGATGGCCGACAGCGTCTGCCAAATTACAATAGTGTGTAGTTGTACTGTACTTGTATGACATGTACATGTACAAAAAACAATTAGTTTGTAGTTGTAACTTGGCGGCCGCTGTCGGCCATCGTAGCCTTGAGAGGAGGTGTACTGTACAGTGCTTCTGTTTCACAGAGTCAACCATTAAGGGGATAAACTTACTGTGTTTTGAGATTTGCGGCGATATATTGTGGATTGTTGACATCAATAACATTCAAAGTGAGGTTGAATTACATTGACCTTTCAGGGTCACGCTATATCCTTCATGACCTCATTGTTAATCAATTTCATGATGTGAAGAGGTCAGTCAGCAGAGATCGATGTGATAGTCTCTTTGTTCTGCTCTTAATTTTTGGTTCCTCATGAATAAAGTGATACCGGTATATCATTCTGAAAGATAGCATTCAGTCCCATGGCATCTTTGTTGTTGTTATCTGAACTAACTGAACTGATAATAGCACTATTTTGGTGGCAAAAATTATCTAACAAATTACAACCAACAAGAATTACAGTCTTGATTTAATGTTAGGGTATGCATTTAAGTTATACTCAAAAATTCTCTGCAGGCACCTTCATTTGGTCAAATATGTCAGTATGATATGATCTGTAAATTGTTGCAGGCTGAAGAAAATCTGAAAAAGTACGGTAAAGTTCTGATGTCAGAGGTTCCACGCCAGACGACAGAGTTACTGAAGCGTCTATGTACGGACTACCGGCCAGCAGATAGTGAGTACATCTGGATATATAACTGAACAAACTGGAATCTATTTTTGTTTCAGGACATAAAATTGATTCGTTTTTTGGGGGGTTTAACATCTTGGCAACAGGCAGGGTCATGTTTGGCCGGGTTCAGAACATAAAGCCAGGATTCCACATAAAATTATGACCTCAGAACCAGAATAATAGAATTCATGTCTGATGTGAGGTATGGATATAAAGGTAATTTGCCGAGGGTCTTCTGCTCAACATTTGATCCTGAGGGTTTGAATAACCTTATCCTTACCTCACATCAGGGATGGATTCTATTTCTTGAGTATTACCTCAAACCCGTAAAGACAGCTTCTCTTCTTGTAAAGTTGTAAACTGTCCGCACATTTCTCATTTGCATATGAAGCCCGGATGGCAATTGTAAATGACGTCAGTTACCCTGACTTACACCAAAACGGCATAAAATGATGTAACGTCACTATAATTCCCCCGCCAGTCTGGGCGTGTAAGCTATCCAGACCCGTGGGTCAGATTCAATTTTCCAGCACCGCCGGAAATGCAGATATCTCGGTTTAGTTTGCAAGAATAATAAAATCTATACCTATCTCCTCAAATAAATGTGGCCTTTTCCCTACTTAACTCATTCACCCCTGAAATTTCATAATGAACTATTCCAACCTTTGAATTGGAAGAGCTCAAATGTGTCTTCAGGGGTGAATGAGTTAAGCTACATTTGAATGCTCCCACGCCAAAATTAAAAGACAAGTTATTTTACATTGGAGATGATACTTTCTTCAACATCAGGAATCTTAACAACATCAAAACAATATATTTAACGACAAAACAGAATATTTATAATGCAGATTGTCAATTTCAAGCCATTGTCTCGTGGATGAATACATCGCTGTTTGAAAATTCTGTGAAATGCCGAGCAAAGATGCCAGAGAGATTGGACAAGATCTAGCATGTCATATAGTGGGAAAATCCATTCTGAGTCACGAGAAAAATGCATCTGTACTAATGTGTGATGTCCAGACTTGTGGCAGATGTTTTGAAATTGAGAATTGGGAATATGCATGTTCATAGTGTGTTCTGTTGTATCCTTAATCTAGTTGCACTTGTTCTTATTGTGTGATTTTAACCCTTTCACCACTGTAGACCATAATGGACTCATCCAGATCAATGCATGGTAGAGTCTACTAAAGTTGCATAGTGGTGAAAGGGTTAAAATCTATATTTTGTATTTTGTATATAATTTATGGTATCTTTTATTTTGTTGAAAATCTAATATTTTTTTTGTAATTTCAACAGAACCACTGGTAGACCAGATGAACATGGATGGTAAGGTCTTGTTACAGAAATCATTCATAAAGCTGTAAAATGTCTTCAAATGAGACATATCCTGTTTTAGCCATCCACATATATCTATGAGATGTTGTTATGTCATTTGCATGACCAGAGATTATCTACTGTATACCAGGAAATTTACACCCACTCAAATATTCGTTCTTTCGCCCGTGAAATCAATTTTCACCCAGTGTTAATTTCGCCCATCATATATAAATGCTGTTTTTTTTTTACTAAATTTGCTGTTACCACAAATTCACCCTCACCACAGAGGGCGAAAAAGGCAAAAAATTAAACTGCAGCGAACATTTTCCAATATACAGTAGACCAAAGAGGTGATCAGCTGTTTTCAATTTCATATTTATAAAGTATCAAACAGCATACACTAGCCCATTCATGTATGTTTTGAAAGTAAATACCGAAAATTTTCATTTCATAATAAAATCTTCTAGCCCTGGGTGTTGGGCTAATGAGATTTTGAGTCATCGATATTGCACATTAGTTGATGTGCTGAATATGCACTGTAGAATGTTTTTGCACCATGTTTGCAAAAAAAAAAAAATGATGTCATGTTTTCAAAATCTTATGCAAGCATAACGAAAAAGAAAAAAAACATAGTTATTGAAAATTTCATAAATATCAGCATTTTACTTCACGCCCAATATACTAGTACATATATAATAGTAAAATTTTAATACAATTTTCCACACTGATGTATCTTATAGTAGATATATTAAAATGATAATCCTAGCTTAAGAAGCCTATAATACATGAACAGTACCATATATGTTCTAAAAGTGTTACACTAAATGTTGAAGTGGAGGAATACTTTGTAGGGTTTGTTTGTTGTAGGTGGAGGATTAGGTAGGATACAGAAGGCCAGCGCCGAGGAGTTCATACACATCTTCGTGAATAACTCGCCAAAACTCACCGAGTTTCTGGAACATATGATCAAGGTGAGCTTGTGTTCACTTCACCGTCGCTTAGTGTGTAATAGTGTAGACAGCATACAAGGCCAAGGTGTTTACTATCACCAAGCTTCAGAATCATAATAGTTATTATGACATGATGTTCCTTGTTGTGAATGCGATGTCTCATGTCATGACGTCATGCTATCTGTCTTAAGGATCCTGTACCACTGCCAGAAACTTTAACCAAGTGGTGGAAGCTATTTTTTCCGGCATGACTATTGTTTTGATAAATCGTTTTGGGAAAGAAAACCATATGTTGCGGAACATTTACGACAAATAATAAAGATGAAATTAATAAAATATAATCAATAACAGTGCTTTGAGTGTTAAAAAACATCAGCCTAGTTAGATCGGAATTTGAACCCTTGACTTCAGATTGATATATATACCATAGCTCTAACCGTTTGAGCTACCTGGTCAACAGAAGTGTCCTAGCTCAAATGTGCTTTAATAAGATCCAAACGGAAGTTAAGGGAAGTTACTCTGTATAGGAAAAACATAGTGCAGTGGGACAGGGATCCTTAAGTTTAATATGACATTTACATGACAATGTACAAAAAATAAAATATGTGTTTTTTCACAGCATAAGTTGGTAGTAATGTGATAAGTTATGGTAAAACAACATCATGTGTTAGGTAAAAGTTTCCTTAAAGATTGGATTGACTTCAAAATTTTAGATAGAAAACCATAGACAGGTTTAGGGATGATCTCAGACTGTCCCACTTCATTGGGTTGGTTTTCTATACACAGTTACTTCCCCTTAACTTCCATTAGGATATAACTGAAGGACAGTTGTGCCAAGACACCTCTGTTGACCAGGTAGCTCATGTGGTTAGAGCGATAGTATATCAACTTGTATTCTAGGGTTAGAATCCCGGTCTAGCCCTGCTGATTTCTGTTTCATTCAGAACACTTGTTGATCATATTTAATTTGTTTATTTCATCTTTATTATTTCTCATAAAAGTCCGGCAAGGCATAGTTTTCTGTTCAGAAATAATTATCAAAGCTATAGGCATTCTGGAAAGAACTGTTTCCAATACTTAGTAACAATTTTTTGGCGTTGGTACTGTATGTATATATATATTTCTGCTTACCAGTGCAGCTTAACTCCAGGTTTAAGATTAATGCCGATGACATATTTCTACTTATTATATAGTTGCAGCCTAAACCCACAGATATTGATGCTGTTGACATATTTTTACTTTTCAGTGCAGCCTTACTCCAAGTTTAAGATTGATGCTAATGATATATTTTGACTTACAGGTGCAGCCTAACTCAATGATAAAGATTGACGCTGATATATGTGTACTTACAGGTGCAGCCTAACTCAATGTTAAAAGATTGACACTGATATATGTGTACTTACAGGTGCAGCCTAACTCCCCGAGCCTTCTCTACAACACCGTGTTAGAACTTTACCTTCATGATTACGTTCACGAGAGAGATAGCTCTGTAAGTATATTCTAAGTAAAGATGTACATCAGGCTACCTCAACAGCTCTGTAAGTATATTCTAAGTAAAGACGTACATCAGGCTACCTCAACAGCTCTGTAAGTATATTCTAAGTAAAGACGTACATCAGGCTACCGCAACCTGAGATTTGAGGAATGTGCTCTTTTTATGTGAAGAGTTCGGCAGATGTTTACATTTGCAAGCTCAGCTGAGTTTGAGTTTAACCAGCTGAGCTTAAGTTTTACCAGCTTTGTGATACCCATTTTGCGGTAAATCTCAGCTGAGTGCAAACTTAAGATTTGAGCTTGGGAGTTGAGGAAATGTTTGTGATACCGAAGCCTGATGTGTGTTTTTCTGAAAATTGAATTGTGATTTGCTGGGATAACACCCTACGTTAATATCACATGCTAGGTGGCACCATCTGTAGGGATGTTTTATTCCATCGGCCAGTGAATTGGTTTATACAAAAATGGATTTGAGGTAAAAAGTGAAGCCATCTTGGGGTTTTTTTCCCGTCACAATACAGGTTTTAAGTAAAGCTGTGCTGGAATGGTTCATTTGTAGGGTGTTAGATCAATCAGATTCTTGTTTTCATATTACACAGGGTGGTCTTGCCATGCCTCACAAATGCATGGTAAAATAGTACCCCCATATTATACCATTTTAAACAATTGCTATAACTACATCCCGCTATATTGTTTCATCCCTAGATTTGTCTGTACACATTGTCCACAGATGTTCGTCTAGTTAACTTCTATTCACATCTATAGGTAAAAACAGAGAAAGTGAGAAGAACAGAGGACCTTTTAAAGAACCCAGATGTAAGAAAACGTTTTATTTTGAATTTTATTTTGAATCAATTTCGTGTTAGGTGCAACCCCATGTTATTTTGCCAAGTTTTGAAATGTTATTATCAGTTGCTTAATTAACATACTGTAATTATAGCATTATTCAGCTGGCCATGAAAGGCAATCAATTTTTTTTATGTATTATTAATTAGAATTGCAACCCAATTAAAATCTGAATAACTTATTATTTCTGTAATAGACCATGGGCCATGGGTGTGTGTCTTCAATAATAGATACTCTGAATGTCTAGCTTAATTTAACATGGAAGTACAGATGAACTTAGTAAATAAAGGTTTACAATTAAAACTTTTTCTTTTTGTATTTGAAAAAAAAATGCTTTTAATTATTATTTTTACTAAATTTTGACGTTTAGGCACGTTATGACCTTGATCAAGCCCTAATCCTGTGTCAGATGAACAACTTCAAGGCTGGTATACTTTACCTGTATGAGAAGGCTCACCTGTAAGTTGGTGTTTATTTATAGATTTTATTTTCTATATATATATATATATATATATATTTGGTAAATATTACTTAAAATTCCCTCCTATCTATATGAAATTATTATAGCCTATAGATTCTCCGCTGATTTTCAGCAATATACAATAATTGGAGGAAAAAAGCATTATGTGTAGTTTTCCATCAACCTATTTGGAATATTCCATCAATACCTGTACCATTAATCCAATTAAATTTGCAAAATGAATGTTCAAATGATCAAAAGAATCTTTTTGCAATAACGGAATAAGTCCATGTGTTAAGAAGCTCAATTTTAAGTGAAACAAATCTGTCGCCTTTTTTAGCTCACCTGGCACGAAGTGCCAAGGGAGCTTATGCCGTGGCGCGGCGTCCGTCCGTCCGTCGTCCATCGTCCGTCGTCCGGTGTCAATATTTTACTTTAAACGACTTCTTCTTAATAACCGAAAGGCCTAGGGTGTCGATATTTGGCCAGAAGCAAACTGGGATGAAGGGCTACAAAGTTTGTTAAAATTAATGACCTTCACCCATTTTCAAGGTCACAGGGGTCAAATATGTTAAAAACTTTAAACATCTTCTTCT